GAGCGTTTTGAGACAGTTTTTGAAAAGTTGAACAAGTCGTCAAAATTGACCAAAATGGTAAGGCTTACCCCTTACCATTTTGGTCAATTTTGACGACTTTTTGAACTTTTCAAAAAACTGTCTTAAAATGCTAAAATGGCTTCCTAAGACTAATATCTTTCATTCTAGAGCATTTTGAGACAGTTTTTGAAAAGTTGAACAAGTCGTCAAAATTGACCAAAATGGTAAGGCTTACCCCTTACCATTTTGGTCAATTTTGACGACTTTTTGAACTTTTCAAAAACTGTCTTAAAATGCTAAAAATGGCTTCCTAAGACTAATATCTTTCATTTAGAGCATTTTGAGACAGTTTTTGAAAAGTTGAACAAGTCGTCAAAATTGACCAAAATGGTAAGGCTTACCCCTTACCATTTTGGTCAATTTTGACGACTTTTTGAACTTTTCAAAAACTGTCTTAAAATGCTAAAAATGGCTTCCTAAGACTAATATCTTTCATTTTAGAGCGTTTTGAGACAGTTTTTGAAAAGTTGAACAAGTCGTCAAAATTGACCAAAATGGTAAGGCTTACCCCTTACCATTTTGGTCAATTTTGACGACTTTTTGAACTTTTCAAAAACTGTCTTAAAATGCTAAAAATGGCTTCCTAAGACTAATATCTTTCATTTTAGAGCGTTTTTGAGACAGTTTTTGAAAAGTTGAACAAGTCGTCAAAATTGACCAAAATGGTAAGGCTTACCCCTTACCATTTTGGTCAATTTTGACGACTTTTTGAACTTTTCAAAAACTGTCTTAAAATGCTAAAAATGGCTTCCTAAGACTAATATCTTTCATTTCTAGAGCATTTTGAGACAGTTTTTGAAAAGTTGAACAAGTCGTCAAAATTGACCAAAATGGTAAGGCTTACCCCTTACCATTTTGGTCAATTTTGACGACTTTTTGAACTTTTCAAAAACTGTCTTAAAATGCTAAAAATGGCTTCCTAAGACTAATATCTTCATTTTAGAGCGTTTTGAGACAGTTTTTGAAAAGTTGAACAAGTCGTCAAAATTGACCAAATGGTAAGGCTTACCCTTACCATTTTGGTCAATTTTGACGACTTTTGAACTTTTCAAAAACTGTCTTAAAATGCTAAAATGGCTTCCTAGACTAATATCTTTCATTTTAGAGCGTTTTGAGACAGTTTTTGAAAGTTGAACAAGTCGTCAAAATTGACCAAAATGGTAAGGCTTACCCCTTACCATTTTGGTCAATTTTGACGACTTTTTGAACTTTTCAAAAACTGTCTTAAAATGCTAAAATGGCTTCCTAAGACTAATATCTTTCATTTCTAGAGCAGTTTTGAGACAGTTTTTGAAAAGTTGAACAAGTCGTCAAAATTGACCAAATGGTAAGGCTTACCCCTTACCATTTTGGTCAATTTTGACGACTTTTTGAACTTTTCAAAAACTGTCTTAAAATGCTAAAAATGGCTTCCTAAGACTAATACTTTCATTTTAGAGCGTTTTGAGACAGTTTTTGAAAGTTGAACAAGTCGTCAAAATTGACCAAAATGGTAAGGCTTACCCCTTACCATTTTGGTCAATTTTGACGACTTTTTGAACTTTCAAAAACTGTCTTAAAATGCTAAAAATGGCTTCCTAAGACTAATATCTTTCATTTTAGAGCGTTTTGAGACAGTTTTTGAAAGTTGAACAAGTCGTCAAATTGACAAAATGGTAAGGCTTACCCCTTACCATTTTGGTCAATTTTGACGACTTTTTGAACTTTCAAAAACTGTCTTAAAATGCTAAAAATGGCTTCCTAAGACTAATATCTTTCATTTTAGAGTTTTGAGACAGTTTTTGAAAAGTTGAACAAGTCGTCAGAATTGACCAAAATGGTAAGGCTTACCCCTTACCATTTTGGTCAATTTTGACGACTTGTTCAACTTTTCAAAAACTGTCTCAAAATGCTAAAAATGGCTTCCTAAGACTAATATCTTTCATTTTAGAGCGTTTTGAGACAGTTTTTGAAAAGTTGAACAAGTCGTCAAAATTGACCAAAATGGTAAGGCTTACCCTTACCATTTTGGTCAATTTTGACGACTTTTTGAACTTTTCAAAACTGTCTAAAATGCTCTAGAATAAAGTATTAGTTTAGAAGCCATTTTCATTTTAAGAGCAGTTTTTGAAAAGTTGAAAAAGTCGTCAAAATTGACCAAATGGTAAGGTAAACCTTACCATTTTGGTCAATTTTGACGACTTGTTCAACTTTTCAAAAACTGTCTCAAAATGCTCTAAATGAAAGATATTAGTTTAGGAAGCCATTTTTAGCATTTTAAGACACTTTTTGAAAAGTTCAAAAAGTCGTCAAAATTGACCAAAATGGTAAGGTGTAAGCCTTACCATTTTGGTCAATTTTGACGACTTGTTCAACTTTTCGAAAAGTGTCTCAAAACGCTCTAAAAAGAAAGATATTAGTCTTAGGAAGCCATTTTTAGCATTTTAAGACAGTTTTTGAAAAGTTCAAAAAATCGTCAAAATTGACCAAAATGGTAAGGGGTAAGCCTTACCATTTTGGTCAATTTTGACGACTTGTTCAACTTTTCAAAAACTGTCTCAAAACGCTCTAAAATGAAAGATATTAGTCTTAGGAAGCCATTTTTAGCATTTTAAGACACTTTTTGAAAAGTTCAAAAAGTCGTCAAAATTGACCAAAATGGTAAGGGTAAGCCTTACCATTTTCGTCAATTTTGACGACTTTTTCCACTTTTCAAAAAGTGTCTCAAAACGCTCTAAAATGAAAGATATTAGTCTTAGGAAGCCATTTTTAGCATTTTAAGACAGTTTTTGAAAAGTTCAAAAAGTCATCAAAATTGACCAAAATGGTAAGGGGTAAGCCTTACCATTTTGGTCAATTTTGACGACTTGTTCAACTCTTCGAAAAGTGTCTCAAAACGCTCTAAAAAGAAAGATATTAGTCTTAGGAAGCCATTTTTAGCATTTTAAGACTTTTTGAAAAGTTCAAAAAGTCGTCAAAATTGACCAAAATGGTAAGAGGTAAGCCTTACCATTTTGGTCAATTTTGACGACTTGTTCAACTTTTCAAAAACTGTCTCAAAACGCTCTAAAATGAAAGATATTAGTCTTAGGAAGCCATTTTTAGCATTTTAAGACAGTTTTTGAAAAGTTCAAAAAGTCGTCAAAATTGACCAAAATGGTAAGGGTAAGCCTTACCATTTTGGTCAATTTTGACGACTTGTTCAACTTTTCAAAACTGTCTCAAAACGCTCTAAATGAAAGATATTAGTCTTAGGAAGCCATTTTTAGCATTTTAAGACAGTTTTCGAAAAGTTCAAAAAGTCGTCAAAATTGATCAAAATGGTAAGGGGTAAGCCTTACCATTTTGGTCAATTTTGACGACTTGTTCAACTTTTCAAAAACTGTCTCAAAATGCTCTAGAATGAAAGATATTAGTCTTAGGAAGCCATTTTTAGCATTTTAAGACAGTTTTTTAAAAGTTCAAAAAGTCGTCAAAATTGACCAAAATGGTAAGGGGTATAAGCCTTACCATTTTGGTCAATTTTGACGACTTGTTCAACTTTTCAAAAACTGTCTCAAAACGCTCTAAAATGAAAGATATTAGTCTTACGAAGCCATTTTTAGCATTTTAAGACACTTTTTGAAAAGTTCAAAAAGTCATCAAAATTGACCAAAATGGTAAGGGGTAAGCCTTACCATTTTGGTCAATTTTGACGACTTGTTCAACTTTTCGAAAAGTGTCTCAAAACGCTCTAAAAAGAAAGATATTAGTCTTAGGAAGCCATTTTTAGCATTTTAAGACACTTTTTGAAAAGTTCAAAAAGTCGTCAAAATTGACCAAAATGGTAAGAGGTAAGCCTTACCATTTTGGTCAATTTTGACGACTTGTTCAACTTTTCAAAAACTGTCTCAAAACGCTCTAAAATGAAAGATATTAGTCTTAGGAAGCCATTTTTAGCATTTTAAGACAGTTTTGAAAAGTTCAAAAGTCGTCAAAATTGACCAAAATGGTAAGGGGTAAGCCTTATCATTTTGACGACTTGTTCAACTTTTCAAAAACTGTCTCAAAATGCTCTAGAATGAAAGATATTAGTCATAGGAAGCCATTTTTAGCATTTTAAGACAGTTTTTGAAAAGTTCAAAAAATCGTCAAAATTGACCAAAATGGTAAGGGGTAAGCCTTACCATTTTGGTCAATTTTGACGACTTGTTCAACTTTTCAAAAACTGTCTCAAAATGCTCTAAAATGAAAGATATTAGTCTTAGGAAGCCATTTTTAGCATTTTAAGACAGTTTTTGAAAAGTTCAAAAAGTCGTCAAAATTGACCAAAATGGTAAGGGGTAAGCCTTACCATTTTGGTCAATTTTGACGACTTGTTCAACTTTTCAAAAACGGTCTCAAAATGCTCTAAAATGAAAGATATTAGTCTTTGGAAGCCATTTTTAGCATTTTAAGACAGTTTTTGAAAAGTTCAAAAAGTCGTCAAAATTGACCAAAATGGTAAGGGGTACACTTGTCCTGTATTCCAATGCCGTGTCCTTGATTAGACAGCGGGGACAAGGACGATGACGAGGCGAAGAGAAAGGCATTTGTTAGAGAATATAAGGCTTCGGTGATGGTTCTATATTTCGCTTGGATAAGAAGCACTCTGATAACGCTTGATTTTCACAATATCTTGGACTTGACATTGATTTAACAAATTGCGTGCGTAGTAGGATGGCTATTCAAATATAATTCTTTCACGTTTTAGGCCGAATCTGCAAAATTCCAACCACACAGTTCAAAAGACAGGTTCATTTTATCATAAATTGACTGTTTTTCAGTATGGAAAAGAGTTAATATCGAGTGACACAGTTGCAACCGTCCTAGGCTCAACTGATGCGAATTTAAACAAATTGTTTATCCAGCTCATGTGACACTCGTTTGGTGCTATTGTTTCCATTCTACCCGTCTGGGCAAGTTCTCAAGGCAACAAGTTCAAGTTCCCAGTTCAAGTTTCATCACAACATGACAATGGCAATACACGTTAACATCCTTGCTCTTTTCTTCGTTGCTGTAGTCGGGGTAGAGGGAATTCCTCTTCGCGACCCAGAGCCACCAACATGGCCCGCATCTTATATGGCAAAAGGCATCATTAATCTACCATACGCTGAAATAGGCGAACCATTTGAAGCATGGTATGACGGACCAAACCAAAGAAGTCGTATTGACTATTATAATGGCAAGTAACTAAATAAAATACGTTGCGTTGTTCAGCCGAGGCGCCAGTTCGCTAAATATTCGAATATTTTGCTTGTTCGAAGATTTTACGAATTCAGATATGCGTAGACATTAGTGGCTCTTTTTTAGGACACTCTTTAGCAGACAAATAAAAAACTACAGCCGTGATTTTATAGGTAATTTCTGGCGTCGTTGCATTTTAAAGAAAACAGCTCTTTTTACAGTATAGTCTAAAATCGTACTGCGTGAACTGCAAAGAGATTTCCTAATTCCTAAAGCGAAAATAATTCTGTTTTTACATTAAAACAAGGGACACGTATATTTAACTGAATATCACTAGGCAATTTTTAATTGATCGAGCCAGCAAACGTCCCAAGGTTACCAATTATAGATGACAGATCACATGCAACATTAACATTTGACATTTGCGGAAATCAATTGCAATTTAAAAATAGCTTTTTACTTTTTATAATTTGTGCAGAATACTCGACGTTTTCAAGCTATATTGAGTGAGATTCCTTGGAAAATTTGCCGAAATATTGTGTCAAATATGAAACGATGTAACAGCCTTGACATTAACTATATATCAGGTGGCAAATGCTTCTAACAATTAAGAATTGCTTTTTTCTTAGGAATGGATAAGACATATCAGCTTGCGGCACAGGAGAAATCATATCTCATTTCACCATGGGCAACGGAAGAAATTTCTGTTGAAGAAACATGTTTTGAAATCGATGGTCCGGTTCAAGCACAGCCAGTTTTGCCCAGGAACCTCACTGCTTTCGAGGTAAAATATCCTCAACTGATAGTTATGGCCTATGGTAAAATATTTAACTTGACCAGAAGCTTCTTCAGTGGATTTCATACAAAGTAAATAAATGTAGTCGTTTCTCAACAGCCAAAATACACAAAAACAATTCGTTTTATGTTTGGTGACTGTAACTCCTTTGATGAAAAGTTATCTTAATAAGCATCGTGAGTAAATATCTCAAAGAACAAGTGAGATATTTCTCTTAAAACAAGGCAAAAAACCGCTTCATTTTATTCCTCAGTATATAGGAGAAGAAAATTTCGAAGGAACTCCATGTTACAACTTCAGACTGAAAGCCGTTTCGGGGAAGAAAGTGAACATCTATACCTTGACAGTTGATCAGAAGAGCAAATATCCGAAACGATACGAGATGTTAGGATATGACACTTTGTTCGGCTCTCATTACGATAAATATGAAGTATTGTACAACTCGTTTGATATCGGGATTCCTACTGAAGAAACCTTTGAGATTCCGAAAGGTACTTGCATGTAACTGCTGTCTTTTTTAATCTGCAAGCAGAAATCGCGAGTGTATACGTTATTCCTCCGGCTTTCTTAGGAATGAAGTGTCATGGCTTTCCTGGACCTGGTGCTGAGTCAGCAGTTATAGCGAACCCCATGAGAGATTACTTCAGTCCTAAAGACGAGGATCGAATTCATCATGTGTTTAAGGATTTCGTGAAACAATATTCAAAAGATTATAAAGATAAACCTGAATTTGAACGACGAAAAGGACATTTCAGACAAAATCTGAGGTGAAAGATATGGACCTCTGGGGGAGAAACATCTCAGAGTTGATAGAAGTGTCAGTTTAGGTTTCCTCCTGTAACTGGATCAATAAGAGATGATCCTTACTGGACCTCTAGGAAGAGCAGTTTAGAACAGATAGAGCTATCCAATATAAATAGAATTAGTTTAGTTTAGGTTTCCTCCTGTAGTAACACTGGATCAATAAGAGATGATCTTTACTGGACCTCTAGGAAGAACAGTTTAGAACAGATAGAGTTATCCAGTATAAATAAAGTTAGTTTAGTTTAGGTTTCCTCCTGTAGTAACACTGGATCAATAAGAGATGATCCTTACTGAACCTCTAAGAAGAACAGTTTTAGAACTGATAGAGCTATCCAGTATAAATAAAGTTAGTTTAGTTTAGGTTTCCTCCTGTAGTAACACTGGATCAATAAGAGATGATCCTTACTGGACTTTTAGGAAGAACAGTTTAGAACTGATAGAGCTATCCAGTATAAATAAAGTTAGTTTAGTTTAGGTTTCCTCCTGTTGTAACACTGGATGAATAAGAGATGATCCTTACTGGACCTCTAGGAAGAACAGTTTAGAACTGATAGAGCTATCCAGTATAAATGAAGTTAGTTTAGTTTAGGTTTCCTCCTGTAGTAACACTGGATCAATAAGAGATGATTTTTACTGGACCTCTAGGAAGAACAGTTTAGAACTGATAGATCTATGTGAAGGCGTACTAAGTTAGCGGTGATGGGGAAGCTGTTAAAGTGATCTAGTTTCGGCACATCAAGTGCAACGTGAACATGTCTTGAAAATTCATTTTATTCAGATTCATCCATGCAAAAAATCGTCAGAACCTCGGCTACCGTCTGAAAATCAACCATTTGGCTGATCTCCACGATGATGAGTTTAAAGAACTAAGAGGTCGCCAGCGCACGAGAGGTTACAACGGAGGAAAACCTTTTAACCCAAGTGTTATGGTCGACGATATACCAGACTTTGTTGACTGGCGTCTTCGAGGTGCGGTGACACCAGTGAAAGATCAGGCTATCTGTGGATCATGCTGGTCATTTGGGGCTACCGGTGCGATGGAAGGAGCTTTGTTTCTTCATGTAAGCTTAGTCTCTCCTTGTCTTCCTCACTACGAGTAGCATTAGGATTTTATTGAATTAAAGTTTGACTACTTGTTGAGAGTGTGTCTCTTTCGAGGTCAGGCTAAAAGTACGACAACGTTTGACTTATTTTTCACTTTTTCAGACTGGGAATAGGATTCGTCTGTCGCAGCAGGTGTTGATGGATTGTTCCTGGGGATTTGGCAACAACGCTTGCAATGGCGGAGAGGAATATCGTGCTTATCAATGGGTGATGAAACATGGTGGCATACCAAGTGAATTTACCTATGGTCCATATCTGGGAATGGTATGCATATCCAAAGTCGTATCTATACTAAAAATGTTTACAGAGCTGTTTACCTCGTATAATAGAGGCGTATTGCAAGCAAGCAAATCTGGTGGAGAGTTTTGAGCTGTTTTGAGATTTGTCTGTCAGTTATTACGCTTTATCAGACGCTTTATGGAGTCAAGGAGAAAGCTACTGCCTTGATGGTATTCCTTCAATGTCGGGTAAGTCTGGTAAGAAGAAAACACTTCTTGTTTTTGATTTTTAGAACGGATACTGTCATTTCAACTCGTCCGAGGTGTCAACTCATATTGATGGTTATGTGAACGTGACGTCAGGAAGCGAGGAGATGTTGAAAGTGGCCATTGCCACCCATGGCCCTTGTTCTGTGGGCATTGACGCGTCACATAAATCATTTTCTTTTTATTCCGATGGTGTTTACTATGAACCTGACTGCGGTAAGTCCAGGCTTGCGTTTATATCGTTGTGTGGGGCGTGGGAGGGGCTGGGGGAAGGGCGAGGGGAAGGGCTGGAGGAAGGGCTGGGGGAAGGGCTAGGGGAAGGGCTGGGGAAGGGCTGGGGAAGGGCTGGGGAAGGGCTGGGGAAGGGCTGGGGAAGGGCTGGGGAAGGGCTGGGAGGTCAACGTCTCAAAGGTGCACCAAGACCTAAAAATCATAACCTCAATTGACTTCGGCTTCGTCTACATTACGCCGGAAATTGTGTTTAGGTAACACACCAAACAGATGATTTGGACCATGCTGTACTGGCTGTAGGGTATGGTACCATGAGAGGCCAGACATACTGGTTGGTAAAGAATTCCTGGTCAACCCACTGGGGTAATGATGGTTATATTCTGATGTCGACCAAAAACAATAACTGTGGTGTGACAACTGATGCTACCTTTGTCGAAATAGCATAACGGACGGACCAATTGTGGCTAATGAACATGATTTAAACGAACCTTTAACTTCAAAAACTTGGATAAATGACTAGATACAAACGATAACCTTACTTGATATGATTCATAGCGAATAGACTGTTCTTACTAAACTAATACAATATATATTTTCCGCACGAATAACGAAACACTTAATAATTTGTTTGCAAGCAAAATGTGAAATAGATGTCTAATTTTGTATCTACGTCAACAAAGTAACAAACTGCATTACATATAACCAGTGTGACCACTTCATTTTCTATCCTGTCCTCAATTAAAGTGGTATATTAGTAGCTTTACGGGCAGGTATCACCGTATCAGTAGCTTTAATCGATCATACCAAGGTTGAATATACCATATTCCGGTATATTTGACCATACCAAGGTTAAATATACCATATTCCGGTATATTCGATCATACCAAGGTGGAATATACCATATTCTGGTATATTCGACCACACCAAGCTCGCTATTTTTTATCGTGTTTTACTCTTATTTTTTTGCCAATTTCGCATTTAATTCTTTGTGTTGTGAAACTTTCATTCGCATCAGTCTGGATGAGGCTCAGCGTGAAACGCTATCCATCCAAACTATCCCAAAACATTCAAAAATGATTGACACTGTGCTTTAAGACTGTTTACGCGTGCAGTGAAAGAGTCAACATTGTCTATTCATCTATTTCAAATATTTGTTTGGGACGTTTTAGGAGTTCAAATTACAAGATTAACATCGTATTGATAAAAGCTGATTATAGTATCTCCATCGCACGAGCATAATCCTATGTACATTGTATTAAAATGAGTTGCAAACTTTGGATTTTCTGTTATGGTTGTTGCACTGCTGTCGGTCGACTAAGCAGGCATGTCGAAGATACTAGCGAACATTTTTGAAATGGTTTCGGATAGAACTGTGGACAAACCAGCAAAAGGCATATCAAATGATTGTAATGAAGATCACTTTGGTCTTTCAAACAGCAAGACAGCGCCACCGCAGTCAATGATAGATGACTTGAAGGCCAGGAAATGTATTGGACATGACGATAATGCCTCTGAAAAAAATTCAGATGATTTAGCGCAAATTCTTCAACAAAAATACAAGAAAAGAGGCATCTTAATTTCATATGATATAAAAGGTTCTTTTCAATTGAAGCGAGTTGTATGTAAGACTATAGAAGACCTGAAATCACTTGGTTTTCAAGACGATATTTGGTTTGATAAGGATGAAGGGGAAACTGCAACGAATGCTTCATTTGGACAAAGACTAGAGTCGGCTGAAGAATGCAACGCCGCCATAATGTTCATCTCACAACAATTCTTCAACAGGTCACCAACGAAATACGAAGCGGACATTTTTAGGCAAAGACAGGATGAAATAACATCAAGCGGGAACCAATTCCGAGTATTTATTGTGAGATATTCGCCATCTGTTTTACCCATTCCAGCTTGTTTTCTTAACCCTGATGTCGACCTGACAAGTAGGAAACTTCGGTATGTCAGCTTGGCTGAAAAAGCAGCTGCGATTGTCGGATCTCTTTCTGAGGATTTAGAAGGGTATGTGACTGTTTTTGCATGTACACATTTGTCCGATATATCCACATTGTGTAAACACAAAAATCAACAGCAAACATTCCCATTTTATTGTTTTGAAATACAACAGAAAGACCTCTTTTACGCTTTATAGATATGTCACATTCTCAACCAAACTCTACCGCCATCTTTCCCCTGACTTCAGTGACAATTTTGCCTCGAGAGGATACAAGGAGAAACCTGTGTTCCTTTGGGATATCCGCGACGTACAGGATTGGTTAGGGTCCCTTGGGGTTCACGAGAGATACCGCTTGAGTTTGGAGGAAAATGAAATCGATGGCTTTTTGCTAACGAGCCTGAACGAGTGCGATATTCAGGAATATTTAAACGTCGATAATAAAACTGCCCGACATAAGATTCTTCATGGAATTAACAATGTCCTAGACAGGGAGACAAGTTGGGATATGTCTTGTCGAAACAGGAAGACAAGGGATAATAATGTATATCTGGTGTGCGATCCCGTGGATGTATGGATAGCGGAGTTCATTATAGCGGATCTTGTAAAAGTGGGGATCATGGTAAGTGGTAACGAGAATACGTGATTATGTGTCGAATTAGAACGATTGGAATTCCGTCAGTATTAATAGTGATGCTCTCTCTCGACTGAAATGGCAATCGACTGAGGTCTCGCTCTGAATGGATCTCTGGACCAATCGCCTTGTGTCTACTACAACTGAGAGCAAATGAGGCTTCCAGTCCAAATGTATTTGTGACATAACTATCGAAATGTTGTACTGAATAAGATTGCCGCAAGCAACCGTTGAAATTTTTCTTCCCACAGGCTCAAATGCATAATGGTCCTGGATTTTCAAAATCTAATGCCAGGCTGTTAGCGGAGGCTGCTACCGTCGTCTTTCTCCTGACGTCATCCAGTGAAAGTTCTCACGTCGTGTTTAAAGAGATCCTATTGGCTGCTTGGCTTGAGAAACCCATCGTTACAGCGGTTTTTGATCAGTCAGCGATCACGTCAGCAAGATGCGCGCTTCAAGCCATCGTTGCCAAGCAACCAGCCGTGAACTTTGGAAGAGAGCGATACCTAGAAGGACTCGATGTTTTGCGATATCACGTGACACGTGGACGGGGGGTTCTACCCAAGGTTATCCTACAGCAGCATTATGTTCAGAAAATGAGGAACGGTTTGAAAACGCTCGAAACTTTGCTACAGACAGATCAAGGTAGGAAATAAGATCAGAATACCAATATCAGAAGCGAAAATTGTTGATGTGTCGTCGCATTCCTGTTGTTTGTAGGTTTAAATTCAGAATTCAAGCGACCAAAAGTGTTTCTGAGCTATCATTGGGATATGCAAAGCAAAGTTTGCAAGATGAAGGAATATCTTGATCGTAATGGTTGCGAGACAACAACTGATGCGTCTAGACCAATGGCTATCAGTGTTGCTAGATCACGCAGGGATCACGCTACGCTGAGCTGTCAGATGACCCCAGCCTTGGTACAAGATGGAATATCCAACGCAAATATTGTTGTACTTTGCATCACTTTGAAGTATCTTACTTACATTGTGATAACTTTATCAAAGATACACAATTAGCCGAGCTACATAAGAAATCAGTGGTCCCTGTTTTGATACAGTGGTGTCCACGCCCTCTGGATAGGGTCATGGTTGTTGCCAAGCGACTAGATATCACGTCAGCGCTGATTGATATGAGTAACGAGCAACTATTTAGAAAGAGTTTACCGAAGCTTTTAGAGTTGATAATGAAGAAGTGTGTATAATTAAAAAAAAAACGGATAAAGAATGTATATATATGTAGAATAAATGCTGAAATACCATAGGTCACGTGTGTATTACGTCACTTGATATACGTACGCTCAACGTACCTATTTTAATGCTGTCACAAAAGTACGCTTTGCTTAAAGTTACATGACGTTCCGCAGAATATAAACAAAAACAAAGACAAGAATACAAAATGGCGTGAAATATGAGTGGTGAAAATCCTTGCAAAGCTTTGAGCATCGAGCAGATTATTCTGCGATCTACGAGGTCAGGAGACATTGAAGAGTTCGGTGCTTGTTTGAATAAGTCGAGGGTGGAGATATTGAACTGGAGGCACTCAAGATCGGGCGAATCTTGTTTGTTATTGTGCGCTCGTTATGGACAGGTTGATATGTTGAGATGTTTAGTGGAAGATTGTGGTGAAAGTTTAGAGCAATGGAATAGCGACGGCAAGAGAGCGCTTCACGAGGCTGCTCTTGGAGGACATCTCGAATGTGTGAGATATTTAATCAATAAAGATGTCGAAATTGATTGTTTGAAGAGAGCTGACTGGTTAGTTCCAAATGAGGGTTATCAGAATACAATCACTCGTTGTTTTATATCATGTAGTGTGTTTGAAAATCGCATATCTGAAATCTTGATTCAGGACACCACTGATGCTTGCATGCACAAAAGACAATATGGATATAATTTCGGAGTTAATTGAAGCTGGAGCGAATCCTAAGTTATCAAACAAAGATGGATGGACGGCTTTTCATATAGCAACAAGGTAGAGAATGTCCATATTTTGTTCCTTGGTGAGGAACTGTCACATGGCTCTGTTCAATACTAACCATTTTAACCATGACACTCATTTCCAATGAGAACTCCAGCATATATTGATCTTTTATTTCAAAACAGAGAAGGTCATCTTGGAATTGTCCAATACTTCCTGGACATGTTTCCTACTATCTGGGATACTGTGAGTAACAATGGTAGAACTCCTCTGCACACAGCAGGTATTAAAATGTGCTGCTTTCTATAACTAGTTACCCAGACAGTTTAATCTTGTTTCTGTTTTACTTCAGCATTACATGGCCATTTGGAAACAGTTGAGCTTCTTTTAAAATGGTTTGTTTCTTTGTAATTTTAGTTCAGAATAGTTCTCCTAGAGGTTCTGTAAGGATCATCTCTTTTTCTGGAATTTTGCACAGAAAGGCAGCAATTCTTGTTTTCCATATTTGAAAATTGTTTTGCCCAGCTAAAAACCCTTTATCATCTCAATAGTGGCCATTATAAGCCAGACTGCATGGATTCATGTGGTACCACACCACTAATGGACAGCATTAGAGGGAATTTTGTTGACGTAGCAGATCTTTTGATTACCAAGGTAATATATACAATGACCATGCCACCATATATACCATACCCTTACTCTCACCTTATTTGAGGTAGTTTTTTTCTTCTGACAAATCTATTACACTTTATCCAGCACCATGCCAGGTCAGAGGCCAGGGATAAACTAGGACGTCAGTGTATCCATATTGCAGCGCAGTCCGGTTCCTTGTCATCCCTCAAGTTCCTGGTGGATACAGAAAAGGTTGATGTTCAAAATGGGACAGATTTTTCGGGAATGACAGCTTTACACGTTGCTGCAAAGGTAGTGAAGCTTCTTGCTGATGTTTTCAATCTTAAAACGTATATCTTAATTCTTAACGCGGTGTTTTCTGACCTTCATAGGAAGGACATGATAACGTTGTCTCTTTTTTGTTGGAAAATGGTAGCAGAATAAACTCCAAAGACAAAAACGGCAGAACAGGTAGCGTTATTCAAAGATGGAACTGTCCAAACCGACACATTCCATGCGTCATCTTCTGATATTTTTCGTTTCAGCTCTTCACCTTGCGTCAGCTGCTGGTCAGACATGCACTGTATACCGTCTGGTGAACCACTCTGCTTGTGACGTCACCACAAGGGACAATAAGGAACTCGTCGCAGCAGATTATGCTCTAAAAACTGATGTTATACAGATCTTTACAAGGTCAACAAGAGCGAAGGTTGAAGCTGCCCAGACAACGTGACCTGAGCAACGAGTTTAATTACTCTAGGATATCGCTGTCCACCAAACACTCTAATGTTACCCGCTGTTCGGTTTGACTGTAATTAAACCTTAGCATTCCTCAGTTGGTCACACTCTTTAATAATTTTTAGGCAGTAATTTTAGAGCTGCATGTAATTTTATATCATTTCAAACATGGTTAAAACGGTTGAATAGATGACTACTATTTGATGGATAGCGCCACACGGCTTTCGTAAAACCGGGTCTGTCGCGCGGACAAATTGATTTCTTATCATTCAGATCGCCGGTTACAAATATAGTTTGGTAACTGTGGGTGTAATGAAGCAAACAACACAGCAATAAATGCTTTTGTGTCTTAACTACCAAACAAACAAAGTGAGATTATCGTAGAATGCTACCTACACTTTTACAGCACCTATGAAAGAATTTAGGTATAGTTCAGAAACAAATGAAGACAGGCGGTAATGCTAATATACCGCCAACAACACCGAACAATCGTTTTGATAAGACCCCAAGAATACATCCGTGGTATATTTCGACCAAGAAGGATGACAGTTCCTTTTGGTTTATGCAAATCATTTTAAAAAGAAATCGATTCAGATTAATTATAATAACATATTATCAGGAACCTTTGTATCGTTATCATGAAATAGCCTTTTTCAAAACGTACCTAAGATACTATCTAAATAAAAATATTTTTCGAAAGATTCGCCGTCGGTTAAATGCTGCTGTACATTTCTCCGAATTGATTTGAACAGCATCAATTTCCGACCTACCTAACCGCTGAGACAATATTAGACATTCCATTATAAGCGAAGAACTGTCATCTTAATGAAAAGTGATACTTTTTGTCATTGTCAAACTGTCTCAAGCTATCAGATCATATTTCATATTGTTCGACGATATTAAATGCAGGTTTGTTTTGCATCCTTGCTCAAATAACAGCGTAGCTTCGCTTTTTAAACGAAGCGTGTGGATCTGAAGTATTTGAAAAAAAATCAATATTGCTCACTCCGCGAGAAACTAAATAACGAGACACGTTATACATAAAGTGTGAAAGCCTGTTATGATATGGGTAGCCAAGACGAAGGTTCCACTGACACTGGCAATAGACGCTCACGAACGAACTTGATGCGAGTTCCATTTTTCATCATAAATATTCTAACATGGGTAAGATATGCGTGCTTCTTTTTAACGCTTTCTGGAATGTAATCCATTATTAAGATAGTGTAAATAAATATACTCAAAATAACACTTATTTTGACGAAGCGACGTGGCTTAATTTCAACGGGAAATCGTGTGGTTTTGAGGTGCGTTTTACGCAGCACGTACTTTGCTCTTTGTAACGTCAGAGGTATACGATTAGTTTCTGAGTTTCGTGCGCAAAATTCGCGTCACTTAAAGCCGGCAACGCTCTACAAGGAAGATTTAAAAAGATTCGTTGATCCACGAATTCCGCCTGTCTTTCCAGGCGACGTGTCATTTAAACATCGATGGATTATATTTGTACTGTTAAAGTACAAATACGCAGGTTCACTGCTTGATATATATTCATCGCAACAATCTTTCTGCACGAACCTTTGGTTTGTACTTCAAACTAACAACCAAAGACCGTAGCCGTGAGTGTACCTTTCAATATGTTTATTCTTGGACCTGGTCGCACAGTCCAGGATGAAGGCGAATTGTACTGTACCTTCTCCGCTCATTTTTAGTTGATTATGATGGAACATACTTTTAAGAAGTGGGATCAACTTCCCCAGATTCACAAACCTAGCTAGTAGACCATGATATAGCTACGGCGGGACATTGTAAAGATACCTTGTTTAGGTAACTTTGAGGCAAAACTCATGGCAGCTTATATAAATATCTATATGTATATATAACTATATAATATTGTGGTAAACTACGAGATCTTATTGTAGAATACTACCTACACTGAACCACCACGTTTGAGATATCTTTCTCAGGTAGTTCAGACACAAACCACGACAGCTTATTGTAGAATACTACCTACACTGGACCACCACGTTTGAGATATCTTTCTCAGGTAGTTCAGACACAAACCACGACAGCTTATTGTAGAATACTACCTACACTGGACCACCACGTTTGAGATATCTTTCTCAGATAGTTCAGACACAAACCACGACAGCTTATTGTAGAATACTACCTGCACTGAACCACCACGTCTGAGATATCTTTCTCAGGTAGTTCAGACACAAACCACGACAGTTTATTGTAGAATACGTCAATACGACCTACACTGGACCACCACGTTTGAGACATCTTTCTCAGGTAGTTCAGACACAAACCACGACAAGAACTACCAGCAATTGATCACCTCGTCTTAGAAAACATCCTCAGATAGTTTAGATACAACTACGTGTTCCTCCTAGAACGCTATTTTCTATATGATTTGACAAGTTCGCAAATCGTAACAGCTGCAGGATTGCCTCATGTACAAAGTGTACAAATATTTGAATGTTATTTATTTGCGCTCGGTACTATATTTGAAGTAGCCAGCAGCTGGTAATGGAGTATATTAGAACTGACTAGACTAAGAGCCTAAGGAACAGTGTATCCGAACACCTTTTCATCAGATGCCTGATGCATTTGCCTAAAATAGAAAAACGTTTCCACGTTTTGACCTAAGGGCTTCCTCAAAAGAGCTAGTGTATAAATCCTTATATAGGTCGAAATATCGAGAAGTCTTCTTAAATATTTACACTAAACTATGTTTGAAAATAAACATTAGACCGACTTATAAAAATTCTGCGTTTATTGTAGAGGATTAAGGAAAGAATCCTTGCTGTGTGAACGTCATAATATCTCGAATTTAGATTTGCATTTCTACCAGCTGTTTAGGCAACCAAAAGTTGTATATAATATTACACTTGAAATAAGATGAAATGTCTTAAAATTTCGTGCGTGGCAATAACAATATAACCAAGTATTTGTTTCCAATTTTAATTTTATTGTCGGAAAGCTTTCGGTCTATTAAGACTAGACGCGCGCTGTTGTGTTGATGATGTGATGACAGTAAAATATTTATAGCGAAAAAACGACCTGTTGTGTTTTAAAGTAACGATGAATTGACACCAATATATACTTCTAAGTTATGCATGATATCTTTTTCGACGAAATTGGTTAGTGGAATTCAAGCATGGTGTATATTTGTAGTCAAGTTGTCTTTTCCTGTCTGGATATGACCTATGGCGGTCGGAGCTAAGCTGCTGAGCTCATATAGCTATATACGAAGTTTGCAGTTTGAATATTGGTACGATAAAGCTGTAACAAAAAGTTTCGTTTATCAACGCCAGATTAAAACGAAAGGTGGCAGGAAGAATCCTATCCACTAAGAGAGATGACAGAATTCATGGGTGACACTTTTTTGACTGACTTTATTGCTAAAAACTCCAGCAAGAAAGCATATCAAAAAATGATAAAAGCAATTTAAAGCATGTCACGTATTTCCATATTTACTGCTTTTTTTTTAAAAAAACCCTATAATTTACTTGCAAATGTCTAAATTTTTCATCAGATTGGTGGAGGAGCCTTGATTGGTTTTGCGATTTGGATCGTTGCATCAGAAAATGAATACAAGCATTTTATCGAGAACCAAGTAATGGATGTTCATTTAACTTCAATGTCGAAAATCAACAACATCGCCCGGATATTTCTCAACTCTACTTTTTCCTATCTTTCCCTAGAATATTTTCATCGCCTACATCACCCTAGCAGCCGTACTTTTCACAGCAGGTAAATCATTGAGTCACTTGCAATATCATCAGTGAGCCTTTGAGGCAAAAGCAATTTCGTAAGATTCATATACAAGACGTTCAAACGTTTAATGTGAAAACAAATATGATTTCTTTTTGTTTTCAAAGGAATTCTTGGTACATGTGGTGTTCTGTTGGGAAACAAAGTTTTGCTTCAGGGCGTAAGACTTGTTTTATGACATATTTTTTACATGAATATCGACTGGCTTTAGCACAGCGTATATACTCATTTGTGTTAATGTCTAGGCCTGTGGAAGCAATCTTACGCCTTTAATCGTGTTTTTCTGATTGTTTCCTGCAGTATTTCTTTGTGATTTGTTTGGTTTTCTGCACCCTGTTCGGTCTGGTTGTATTTGGCGTGGTTGAACGGAGTAGGGTAAGATATATTTCAAAACAAGATGAAAATATTTTGATCGTAAAAAGCGAATGCATGGCCATGGAGATGGTATAGTGCTGATGTAACATTTATGCAAAGTGTTTGCCAAATCATGAAACGAGAAATGTATTTATTTCATTAAGATGGATCAGATTGTACGAGACAGCTGGAACAAGACAAACGACGACACAAGAATTTTCATTCAAGAAAAGGTTTCATCATATTATCTCAGTTTTAGCCGTCGTTCATTGGACGTTTTTAATCACACGCCGATACGCCAGTTCTTTGTTGTTTCAAAGCTTGTCATTTTTACATAATTTCTTTTTGCATGAGTTTCTCACACTTAATAAATCTTGTCTTGTAATCCGTTTTATAGTTTGATTGCTGTGATGTCGGCATCAATAATACTAAAACTGATTCCAACAAACATGAATCGTGTTTTGTTAATAACACAAAAAATAATGAAGTGAAACAGGTAATTTCTGATTTCTCTTCGTCTGTTTAACGCTGGGAAATATATTCATACCGGTATGTTGATGACTTTTTTTGGCTGTATTCACTGATTTCACAGATCTAGAATGGTAAAATTTCTACTAAACTTTCCTAGGATTGTTTGTCGAAGCTTATCGAGTGGTTTGAAGATCATCAAATTGCTCTTGCAACGGGTGGAGCTGCCGTGATGATGGTTTTGGTAAGGAAAATATATCGATTGTTTTTCTCTATTTATCTTCCATGATCTTAGCCTATCGGCACCGAGAGAGGACTATATATCTTAACTGGAGTAAATTTGCGAAGTTATCTTCAACTTCAAGTCCAGAATACCTGACCAGTTTGAAAATGACGATTTCCCCGAAGCCTTTTATGGAGAAATATCGTCTTTCAACTGTAGATTCTCCTCATGGTGGGGTCTTGCTGGCTCATCAGGAAATTTCAAACAACACAAAGAACAATGAAGGTCTCGCGAGTGGCCCCAGCTGCCCAGAATGACGAAAACGATATGGATCACACTTACGCTCAGCCGTTCAAAAATCGTGACGGACAGATGAACGAAATGGTATCTATTGAAGAAGTAAGCAAGCAAACAGCAAGCGCCTTACTCAAGATATTTCTAACATATTTCTCACATGATGATCGAAGTTAACTCGCTGTTATTTTAGACAGATCTAATGTCAGTATTGAGCACGTTTTTCACTTTCTTAAACCCTATCTAGCTACACTGTTTAACTTTTGATTTTGAAGTGCATGCGTGTTCTTCTCCTAAACCTGTTTATAACTACACTTGCAATTTTTGCGATGTACAAGGACTGTATTAGAGGTCTTCTCTCAAATGGGCAAAGGAAAAATAACCACATTTCGATAACCCCATTGAAACTGCAACGAAATCTCTTCCGACAGAAATTGAAATACGATTTACAGCATGAACGTATTGTTGAGTTGAAAGTTCAACGTTATTTTACTTAGCCACAAGAAGAAAGCTACTCCAACGGCAACGAACGAGGAAGAAAGGGAGCGAAGACAGCCAAACACCAACGAAACGCCTGGGCAAAGAAGTCCTCAAACTCACCAATGAAGTAACATACTCCACAACAAAAAAACATACACAACGTGTAACTGCGTGTAAACGTTAGGTTAAGCATAACGAGCAAGGTTTTTGCAGGGTGATTCTGATTATACAGAACCGGTATAGTTTTTCAGTTTGAAGTAGTTTGATATATAAATTGAAACTACACATTGTAGAGTTTTATTTCACTCAGAGATATAGAAGTTATAGAAATGTACAGAGAGAATAGAAGACGTTCTTTCTTTCATATATATATTGGTTTTAAGGAGGCATAAATTATATCCAAAGTGTGTTGTGTTGTTGTAGACTGTAGTACCAAGTACCGATGAAAATTATAGATTATAGTATACACCAGTCAATATTACCTTTTCGACGTAAATGAGTATCGTGTTTCCTTCACAACTGTAACGCTGAATCCAATGACCTTTTGATCCTTTTTGTCCACTGTAAATGGGCAGTCATGGTCCCTCGTTTGACAGTCATGACATCCCCCGGCCATGTTACAAGTCAGTTTTCACTTTATTGGCCTTTTTTGGACGATTTCGTGTTGAAATTTTAACTCGCATCACGTCTGTGAATTTCCAATTCTTCGTCAAAAACAACTCTTCCCGCCTTGAAATCTTCTTCGTTATTTTTTATCCACTCGGACGGATTAAAATCAGGAAAAAAGAACTTCATTTCTTTCACCGCCTTTTCAACAGAATCTGGCAAATTTTTGAACGAAATAATTTCTGATTATGAAATCGTATTAAAAACATTTAAAACAACTATTTTAAAAGATTCATTTGCAAATACACATAGACTTAACGTTTTGTGGTAATTTGTAAAAGCAGATATCATTAAAGTAATCTATTCGTATTTTACTCTGTCAGATAATTTTACATTTGTGCATCATGAAAGGGTTGAATGCAAGGAGCTAAGTCTTCTACCTGAGCCATGAGCTACATTTCTTGTGTCAGTGAGGCCAAACATACCACGAATGCTTTGAGGGTGTGTGAGCTTTGCCCTGTATTTGTGTAATGATGGAAGTCAACAATAAGGTGTTTGACTGACCCTGGTTCATTTGTGGAAGGGGTGACTAGGTAGTGGGGTGACTAGGTAAGTGGAGTGACTAGGTAAGTGGGTATGAAATATGGGGCTAAGTGCTTAAGTAAGTGGGCTATAAAAAGGCTTTTTAAGTGCATATTTTGAGGTGTAGAAAGACTAGATTTGCCTCTATTGTGTACTGTATGCTAGTGCATTAAAAATAATTTCTAATATATTAACAATTCATATTCCATACCTAGTTGTTTTTGTTGGACCCATGACATTCCTCCAGTGCGAAACTGCATCATCCCTTGACAGAACCATTGGCATTATCGGGCCACTTTTATACCAAAATTTAAAAAGTTTACTACCAAAACATTCAGATTGTGCGGCTTGCTGGCTGCGAAATATCATAATCAAACCTGCTTGCATAATGCAGTGCCTACCTGCTCATGAATGATACCAAACGATGGAAGAAAAATTTACCTACAGAAGAGAGGTGCAACCATTGAGTTCTTCCATGCGAAGCTGAGTTATAGAAGTCTGTTTTAAAATATGATGTCTCGAACCTCTGTGCTCTTGATAAAACAACTCAGCGTCATGCCTTTGCCATTGTAAAATCTTCCATTTCAAGATCCAAAAGTTTTCTTTCAAAATTCTATCTTTAACGCTCTAGAAAGATGAAGAACATTCAGGTGAGTGGCAGCCTTTTGGTGTGGCTTCGAGCAAATCATTTTCATCAATGAGAAATAGTCTATTGCATCAGCCATTTTGACATACATGTTGAAACAATTATAACTAGATGGAAACCAGGTGTAAATCTGAGATAGAAATCTGAAAACTTGTCTGTGTTTCATCAAAGAGTTTGTGCAATGTCTGACACAACTCTAGGCAATTTGATGCCATTGTAATTTCAAAGATCTTCAACCTAAGGGCAAATTGCCACTGGTACCACACCCTTTTGTCCCTCCAAGCTATTTAGGCTGTTTGCAAAGTTCAAGTTAAAAGAAAAGTAAAGGTTTAGAGGGAGTTAAGGGCCACCTTTGTGAGGTATTCACACATATTTCCTTATATCAGGGGAGATCCCATAGTGTGGTGGTTTGTGATAGTGGGTAACTCGCTAATTCTAAGGTGAATATAGGCTATAAATGTGCTGCTAATGTTACATATTAAATAATAGTGTATAAAAATACCTTCAAAAAGACAGGATTGGTCAACAAATCTGGTTTTAAGATAGCCAATGTAAGCTGTAAACGAGAACATCCTTTCATAGTTTATTCTTTAGTTTTATTTCATTTTAAAAACCATTTTTATCTCCTCTGGCTCTGGCTCTGTTGGTCATGACCACCTTCACTTCTTCACTTGTGCTTCCGTTTTCACACTTTCAATTCCATTTTCACACAACATTTTCAATTTCATTTTTCAGACGATTAAAAATTAATCATGAAAAATTATAAAATCGATTATTGTTTTGGCCTAATTGAAGTTAAATTATTTCATTATCCTTAGAAAATAACATGAAAATTACTTGACCAAAACGGAATTTACCGAAATCCCTAATAAAATATCAAGTAAGATTATCTATTTTGTGTCATTACCATGGCATTTATAATATTCAATTACATCAATCTGATGGCGTTTAATGTAAATAACAGGTTATAAAAGGTCGCCTGACTGTTAAAACAGACTTATTATGTGAGTTTTAATGAAGAATACCATCAAATCCAGATGGTTTTGGAAACTCATTATCCAGCAAAATCTGGGATAGGTTGTGTACCATATGGACAGCTAGGCCAGATAGACAGATAGTTGATGTACCACCCTTATACAACATATTTATGGCATTAAATATATGTTGTTTACCATGGAACTGCATGGTACTTTACTGTACTGGTCGCATGACAAACTGGATGGTGAGGGTTATTATAGCCAGTAGCTATCATAAAATCAAAAGATGCACCTAGCTTGCATCTCTTAGGTAATATTTGAAACATTTCTCCCCATCCTGTGCACCATGAGCTGACTCAAAACATGCTACCATAAAAACGGACAATCAGTCTGCATAGCCTCATTTTTATGCATGCAACGAATACCAACTCCAGCCAATTATCCAATTCATGAAAATGAGACTCTGAAATCGAGAAATAATTTTTCAGCATAACTTATTAATTCACTCTTCTTCACCTGATTACATTGTTTTATTTACTAGAATATGTCAAGGACATGGCTAAAAATTCTATTCTTCCTATGGTTGTCATGCTCGATCTGTTACCATTTCCTGAACATACGCATCTATTACGGACACCCTTATTCAGCCAACCTGGCAATTTTCTCCAAATATTTACGGTTCCTTGAGGTAACCATGTTTCAAAGCTTTACGGGAACAATCACTACAGCTTTCATATTGAAACTCCTCCAGAAACGAACACTGGTTTTTCCATCATGTAATAAGAAGTTATTAGCCATAATAGTAGTGGGTCATCTTTTTGGAACTCTTTCAATAAATGCTGCTGTTTCTATGCACAGCCTGTACATTCAAGACTTTTTCAGAAGCTTTGAACCAGTAATGGTGTATATTTTACTACTAAACCATGGTCATCACAATGGCAGGAACAGTTTTTATGTGTTCTTTGGCGTGATCCTAATGGCAATGGGATTTCAAGCATTTATGAGACATCAAAAATTGGTATTTACGCCATGGGGAATAACTGCAGCCATTTTGCCAGTATTTATGTATCCTTTAAGAAACGTATCTCTGAAAGCTTTTGGTGAAACGTGGCAAGACCCTTTTGAAAAATATCTGGTGGTTTCTGGCTTTAGTTTTGTAATTCTATTATTTGCTGTTTTGGTGAAACTTGCGTACACACGAATCCTACCTTTATTCGGCCTGAAAATGGCACTGAAGTCTATTGCATTTCATATAGTTGACAGTCTCATATCTATGTCCATTTTGGAACTGTTTTCACCAATATTTCATTCCGTTCTTGTTGTCGTGATAAAGTATCTGACGATCATCTTCCTCGCACTTACGTATTCATCATTTTCAATATCTCAGTGGCTTCCAACCATAGGAATGCTTCTGTTCCCAACTGGACTCATGATATTTTTCAAGAAACACAACTTATCCAACACGCTAGAAATAAAACGATTCATAATCTCATCAGTTCTTGCATTTTACCTCATCTTCGGCGGGAATATTTTATGGAAACAGTACATTTCAATGCAAAATCTACGACCATTAAACAAACTCCCAGGACAATTCGTTCATTTTGGGTGTATAACCAACCTTTGAACGAACATATTTTATTTAATATGCAAAGTTTACTAGAAAGGTCAACGAATAAACTCCAAGTGCTCTGTGGGACGTTTTCTTGTATGAAAAAAGTCAACAGTTTGAAAGACTCTCGAATTTCACCAACATTTTTGACCTTTGATGCCATAGCACGAAATTCCCCTCTAGAAGAATGGTTTAGAGCTCATGTGGTACATAAAACCCTTTCAGGGAAATATTTTGAGACTCATTTACACGAAGCGACGAAGTTAGCTCTTCTTTGGCGCTATGGTGGAACGATCGTAGACCCGTTTCTACGAATTCATGAAAAACAATCTCGGAAACTTGACCGAATTCTTGAAGCTTGCATTGCAAAGATTCCGAACCACAATTCATCTGAAATCCTGTATGCTTTTAAATTTAAAAAACGCCATCCGTTTGTGAAAATGCTTTTGAGTATATTCGCAAAGCTCCATCACCGACTCTGCTATTTGGGACAGTATTGCAACACGTTGAATTACAATTTTAACATCCAGTCGTGGATAGCGCTTGAGAATTTTTGCAAAAACGACAATCGTTGCCCAAAAACCGTTAAAATTTTGGCGCAAAAGACTGGTTATAAAATACCCAGTGAAAAACTTGATACAAATTTCAATCGGACGAATTCAAAATCTCTTTCAACTGGTTTACAAAATTTTGCCAGGATTCAATTTTTTCCTTCTGATGGAACAGCTCCTGGTAGTTCTAGAAACAATGGCAAACTTTTGCAACACAGGTCAGGTTTATTGCCACAATTTAAAACGCTTTTCCGATCACCAACGAGCCTCGCTGAAATGCTCGCCTTAGGAAAGTATTTTTCGTTGAAATATATCGAGTCTTCGTTTAAAATTGCGCCAGTTGGTTGCCTTGATATGAGGACGGTCGATTTTCTAAGATCTAACAAAGTCGACGCTTATTTATCCGCGGGAATCGGCCTGCTAACCAAACCTCCGGTAATCCGTGAAGTTTCAAGGAATAAGATTTATATTGTGAGTTTAAATGAGACCTTATTAGATCAATTCCCAAGGGAAATTCAAGAATATGGTATTCGTTTGAGTCTTGGTAAAAAAAGTGAATTAAATCTACGTAGATGGATCAAATCTTTACATGTCTTTCTGAAAAAAATTGCGAGGGCGAAGCTGGTGATTACTGGAGATTTTCATTGTGCAAGCGTCGCTCTGGCCTTCGACACACCAGTGTTTTACGTTCAGACTCAAAACGCTTCAAAACGACGGGGACAACATTCGTCATCAGTCTTCCATACATGCAACACGAAAGACCGTTCTCTGAATGCATCTGACGCGGTGTTAATTTCCAAGTTGTTGTCTGGTGAAATCCCAGCGGCAGCTGATCTCAGTCTCTTCATGAGACTTCGAGCAACTACCTGGAGTGCTATGCGCGAGAATGAAGTTGTTCGGGAATCCGGATTGAAGTTCGGCATCGTTCCCTTCCCTCGACCACGTTCAAACACAGTAGAAAATAATACATTTCATTTGATTTTCACGACTTCTGAGCGAAGTTTGATTGTTTTAGAAGACGATACTGGAAGTAATAAAGTGACAGGGATCTTCGCCTGGCGCCATTGGCGTTGTGTGGAAGCCATATTTTATCATCATCCCATGGCAACCGTAATCATCCACAGTAATACACTATCATCGAGTGTATTCGATGTTCTCAGCAGAGTCTGGGTATCGCATTCAAGTGAAGCCGTATAATCTCACAGCGTTAGCTGAAGGTAATCCAAACAAAGTTTTGTATTCTTGAGATTATTCCGCATGTCTAAAGAAGATGATAAAAACGTTAATTCTTTTCGCAATTGCTCTGAGATATTTAGAGTGCTTGTTATGTTTCTCTCCTTTCTCTCGTGTTAATAAAATCTTCAATATATTTCACAGGTACACCAGCTGAAGTGTTCGTACAAGATGAACTTCCGTATGCTAAAGAAGGTAAACATTGGTACAGTCACGAGACGGACCTCCTTCGATTGTTGATTCTTTACAAATACGGCGGTATTTACATGGATATTGACGTTATCATCGTCCGTGATTTACACGACCTTCCGTTAAACACGATAGGCTGGGAGAGCGGCTCGAATCTAAACGGAGCATTTCTAAAATTCCAAAGCGGCCATCCTTATCTTCACGCATGCATAGTGCGATTCTCGGAACGCTACTCGCAAGCATGGTCGGACAACGGTCCTTTGCTTCTGAGCCGAGTGTGGCGCGAGTGGTCGTCGACGAATCCCGATAATGACGTCACCACGGCATCGCCGATAGCGTTCTATATGTTTTTCTATCGCAGCATACGTCAGAGTTGCTTTGAAGATACGTCTGGCGTAGATTTTGATGAGAATTGGAAGATATTGAGAAGTCAGACGTACGCCGTACATTTGTATTCGAAAGTGACGGCCGATTATGGCGGTGAAAATAATAAGATTAAAGAAGGAACCCTTTGTAAATACATTCTTAATGCCTTCTGTGTGTTGTGCATTAAAGTTTATTGAATCACCTTGATAACCTTGATAATGTGTCACTCCGGGAATAATTATAGGAAGCAATGTTTCCTAGTTTGTTCACCTTCAGGAAACGTTGAACCTGTTTTTGAAAAAAACTTCATGAAACATGGCTAGGAAACAATGTTTCCTGGTTTGTCCATCTTCATGAAACTTGGCTAGGAAACAATGTTTCCTGGTTTGTCTACCTTCATGAAACATGGCTAGGAAACAATGTTTCCTGGTTTGTCTACCTCCAGGAAAGATGACTAGAAAACAACATCCGCTCACCTCTAAGACAAGCCGAATTCACCACCTGCTGTTGATTGGGAAAGCGATAGCCGTCTTGGCAGAACCTGTCAATCGAAAACGGTTAATATCAAAACTCGAACAGACGAACACTATATTACCATTACATTATTACCATTCATCATCGAAGATTTTTCAGGAATAACATGTGTTCGATAAACTTTCAATATTACTGTCAATGCTGAACGTTAAATTTGAATATCAACGTAATTATTCCAAAGCGAATTAATTTGAATTTCCAAACTGCACGAGACCAGCCCAGACAAAACAGATTCGTATGTAGATTAATGTTACAACATGTATATACGGTAACAAGCGACGATTTGATGCAAAGATGACTCGTAAATCTCCTGTAAATTTGAAAAGTTTTTTCCTTTTATTGCTTTGTTTTGTTCTGTTTACTGTGATCTACTACAACGCAGGTTTTAGCTACGAAAGTCTTCAATTTTGGAAGGTAAGCATGTGCTGCTATACAGCGTGTATAATTGAATCAAGTGAATCAAGTAGGCATATATATTTGCATCATAACACAACCAGGCCATGATATATATCGCCATATCTTTTTATATTCCTATCGCTTCATTACCTCTGATTTCCTTATCATCTTAATTTTGTTTCCAGACCATTCCAAAATCTCATATACAGTAAACATTACGTTAAGAATAAGATGATATAAAAAGCTAGATTGTAATGTAAACTACAATTAATTTTGCTCAGCAGACAGCACGCAAAGCGTTTATCTTCATAAATCATTATGCAGTCTTTAGCGGCTCAATTTTCCTATAGTTTGCATGATATAAGACTCTTACACGTGTCAAGGACAAGCAAAGGACTTCGACTTCATTTTTTGGTCGTCAATTATGAATAAGAAAGACAGGAAGGGCGCCATCATCTTGCGAATGAAAGTGCATACTAACTGCCGAAATTCATCGCTTTTTTACTTCGTTGCTCCAGTATTAACGTTGTCAAATACTAACAGTGTTCAATTTCAAAATACTTCAATATTATTGAAAGCTTCTTTATTGTACATCCGTATATTAACCGCTGCCATTGACAATAAGATATGTTATTGACCTTCGGCTCAACGAAGTAATGTCACGATTGATAGTCGTGTATTGCATTATCAAGATTCATTATTTATTTACTACCTCGCCGAAAATCTCCTTCTGTAAGAGTTTCATGTAAGAACCTCGCTGCTATTAACGGAAATACTAGGAGAAAATGGTAGTATAATGATACTACCGTCTTGGCAGTAACTTACTACACTACCTTGACATTGAGTTACCTGTCGTAAAGAGGACTACAAGTACAATTAATTCCAGCAATTTATACATTCAAACAACATGAGTTTAAACTGCAAGAGATTAAAATTTGAAATCCTTGGTTTTCTATCTGTAGATATTAATTGTGAGCGCTGAAAGGGAAAGGAAATTTGAAAATCAACAGGATCGTCTATTTCCAAGAACTACCAGAAGAGTAATTAAACATTTAGTCATGCTAACTAAATAAATTTCGACTCACCTTAAAAAAATTTACTGCTTCCGTTTTGTAAACAATTGTTTTCAATTCACTATGGTTATATATTGTCTTTAGCACGAAGCTACCGCATCGCCGCGGTTTAAAATCTGGCGCAATGAACCTCAAAACAAAACTCTTCGCAGCAACAGTTCTGTAAGTCCATAATTTACGCGGCCATAAAAATATAAAATGTGTAAAGTACATTTCAGTACAGATTTCTTTAGTATAATCTTGCCACACAAGAACCTTCGTCACTTCAGCTTAGCCTTGGCTTCTTCTGTGAACTTTTCTTCCATCATTCTCTTCCATCACTTCCCTCTAAATTTAACTTAACTTAATTTCCTGACTTTATTTAATCGTATCGTTTACCTTGAAAATATCACTTTCTCCAACCGAAACTTCTCAAACAGCTGTTCTACCTTTGCAGACATTATCCAGGAGTAAAGAAATGGAACTTGGAGCAAGTCTGTCCGAATGGACTAGTTCGACAATACAGGAGACAAAGGTTCGCTTCAAGTCAGAGTTGCATGAGTTTATAAGAAATATTGTTTTATAGAAAGCCCATTGCCATTGGCTTCGATTTTCTTGTTCCAAGGACGGAGAACAATGACGATGCTTGAGTTATTTTTTCAGTAATTTAACAGCCCTGGTTCAGAGGATAGAGTGATTGAAAGCAGTAATTTTTGGGAATGTTTAATTTTCAGGAACAATGTGCTTCAATCACTAAGGACAAAGTACAACCATTGCCGTCAGAGATTGGTTGTCGCATACCGTTCATGGACGCATTTCATCCACAAATCATGAAGTATGTGTCTTCTTCCGCTAGTCCGAAATGCTCTGGTCAGCGGTATGGCGAGCTGGTGGATGGCGCGTTACATTTCAGAGGTATAAATGATGACGTCGTTTGAATAACTGATCTTATTTTCCACATCAACAAAGTGACAGGTAGCATTTTCATTGCAGATCCCAAAGTAAAATCAGCAACGTACCAAGCAATATCACGTAATGGCGAGACCAGTTATACCTTGTCTGCCAGCAAGCCTGTGGTCTCCGGGCAGAAGATCAACGATCAACTTATCGAGGTAGATTTCACTTTAGATAACAATCAACACGCTAAAGAGTTGCATCTTCACGCAGTCCCAAACGAAAACGTACTAAAACGCGAAGCCAAAACAAACTCTGGAGTTCCACTCAATATTCTGGTAATAGGACTAGACTCAGTCTCCCATGGCTCAGCACAACGTAAGCTTCCACGTGTGTATAAGTTTCTCCGTGATGAGTTGGGAGCGTACTTCTTCAACGGTCACGTGGTCACCGGGGATGGAACGGTCGAACAAATGGCTCCGATGTTGACAGGAAGGAAGTTCATGGAGGAACTTTACGAAGCCAGGCCGGACCGAGCAAAATCTCGAACTGTCGATGACTGGCCTTGGATATATAAACAACTAAAAGGTAGAGGTCCTCGTAGACAGGAGGGGGGGGAAGGGGGTTCTCGTAGATGGGATGGTGAAGAGGAAGGAAAGAGGGGTTCTCGTAGACGGGAGGGGGATGGAAGGGGGTTCTCGTAGACGGGAGGGAGGGGGTTAAAGGGGGTGTTTACGCCAGGCACCAGGTAGGCCAACATCAGAGTGTCTGTGTGAGCTAAGATTTGATATTGAGACGGCCTCACAACCAACGTAGAATCACTGAACGCGATCTTCACCTTGCACAAGTTTACATAAATTTGAAGATAAACAGACTTTATCCAAGTTTTCAGAGCATGTCTCAATGATTAGTAACAGCAGAGTAATGAAGCAAATTATCTGATACTTACATCTGATTGCATGCCTCACTTCATTGTCATTGTCTTACAATATAGAACACGGCTACATAACCGGTTACAATGAGGACGGGACACATCTTGGACCGTTCAACTGGAGACTACGAGGTTTCAGCTCGCCTCCGACAGATTTTTACCCTATTCCATTCTTCAGAAGAACGAAGAAATTGATGAAAGGCGGAGATCAATGTGTTGGCGCCAAGAATGTGAATCAATATCAATACGATTACATCAGAAGTTTTTTTAAAGTGTTTTCGAAAAAGTTGAAGTTTTTGCTTTCTTTCACTGGTGAGTTTTAGGCCTGATGGAAAAAGTTATGTGCATCAGCTAACGGTTTAACTTCAACACCGATAGATTTAGTTGATTCTCACTTCTCAGTTACATAATCCTACCTACCCGAGACTAGTTATTGAAGAAACGCTTTTGATGTATTGAAATTACTCTTTCTCAAACCAAACGAGTGCATGGTGTCGTTGATTTGACTTCACTGACTAGCATCGTATTATTGACTCATTTCAATACCTCAAAATCATACCACAAATATGAGAGCGCAATTAACTCAAAGTTTGTTTTCTGATCATTTCAGCTGGTTATTCTCATCATGAACTGACCCGAGTACAAAAGCTGGAACGCGATCTTCTTGTTTTACTGAAAGATCTCAACGCTTCGAACGTGTTTGACAACACCATGTTTATACTAATGGGGGACCATGGGGTACGATGGGGGAGTGTCAGGGAAACTATCCAAGGAAAACTCGAGGAAAGAATGCCGTTTTTTTCAATCGCATTTCCGAGATGGTTCAAGTCCAAATTTCCGAAGATCGACGAGAATCTACGAACGAATGTCAATCGGCTTACGACGTGGTACGATGTTTACGCGACTTTGCGTCACATGCTTTCGTACCCAGATCTACCTAAGGATATAAAACACGGTCAAAGCCTATTCACTGAGATTCCAATATCTCGCACTTGCAAGGATGCTTTTGTGCCGAATTTCTGGTGCCCGTGTTTACGGTGGTCAGCGGTCGATACCAAACATACACATGCGCAAAAGGCGGCGCTTGTTGCTATAGAATGGATGAATATGTTAACTGGAAATAACAACAGTGATGCATCGCAATGTCAAGTCCTCACTTTAAAGAAAGTAACTAGCGCTTTATTGGAGAGGCCTAATGATCTTGTATTAAGGTTCAAACACGTTGATCTTAGCTACACGCCTAGATACAGACCACAAAATAACCCTCCACAGACCTATTTCTGTCGCTACCAGGTCCAGTTTGTGACTGCGCCTAACAATGCAACGTACGTAGTCCAAGCTAAATTCTATAAGAAAAAATTTACCATCAACACTAAAATTACTAGAATTGATAACGACCCAGGTCCACAATGTACTGCTAATGCAGAGCTTAGGAAATACTGCGCATGTAAATGATAATAGCAGAATATTTAGATAAGAAATTTGGAGAGAACCAACTTTCCTCCTCCTAGAATGCTATTGGCAGATGAGATGAGGTCGACATTTTGACAGTGATAAAGGTAAACTTGAAACGCTCAAAAACGCAAAGACCCAATCTCGCCATAAATAGGTCTATAAAAAAACACTCATTTATGACAAACCAAACGTTTGAGAAATGGTATTTATTTTATCAATTCGATTCTTTCGTGAACGCTATAATTCTACCTGAAGTCTATTTAATAGAAATTGACAATTAAAACAGATTTTATAACACGCTTTAAAAATTCGGTTCAATTCGAGCAAAGGCTCTTCAACAAAACCACATGCTCGTTATCATTTTGTGCGCAAAAATTCAGCACAATCATTCTCTGGGTTATTATAATTAATCACAATTACAGATTAAATAAATTATTAGCTACATTATTGTCATGCTAGAGAATGTATTCATTTTATGAAGCCTAGACGCAGGCCGGGTCTAGACCTCTATTTCATGGGCGTGGGCCGCTCTAAACACATGTCTATTTCATATGCTTCTTCAAAACCTATCGTGTCTAATCTAGACTTGCTGAAACTGGTTCACACGTGTTGGATCAGATAAAAAAGTACCTTAAAACGCAAATAGACCATTTCATGCTTGGATTATTTGAGTTTCGCTTATTGCCCTTCACAGCTAAATATCCCACTCGTATGAACCAGCGAGGTTTTGTCAAGATTAGCGCTGAAGACCTCCAATAGAATATCGTAGATTTGTGGGTAGTATTCATTGATTCAACGGCCGTGAGGGACCATTGTTTTATAAGACTTTGTTAACTCTGCAGGCTGAGAATGCCGAAGGTACCGGCAGTTCTTTGAATAACTTTTCGCAGCATTAATCGGAGTTCATGTTTGCAATCAAACATGACCATTTCAGAAAGATGAAGAAAACAAGATGACATGTGGATTTTGAACTAGGAGAGGAAAAGAGAACCTCTTATCAGAATATACCTCGCTATCTGATCAATTAATCCACAGATACAACGAATCCTGGGGTTATAAACCTTCATATTATTCAATCTACATCTTAAAAAAAATTAAATTTCCTACCCTTTCATCCGGAAGACGAAGTATCTTGGTAAAAATAAGAATTAGCAACGTCGTCCAAGCATCTCTGTGACTGGCTGATTGCAGTTGATTGAAATGCGTCAGAGCTTCTTTACAAATCCTAGAAATATCATTTTAACATCTCTTATATAAAAATTCTATAAACAGCCAAGAATTTGAATAACAAAAGGGAGGATTTAGTATTTAGTGTCACTACAGAAGGAAGCCATTATGATATAACTCATTATTCAAACCTCAACATTCTCTGTTCAACTTCCTCCCAGGATTCCTTCCGACTTTCATCATCGTACATTCTAAAAAGTATTCTGAGCAGACACGCAAGACTCGATGTCTCCTGTTTCAATAAATTAGGCTTTGACTGGCCTTTAAAACCTGCGCAAAATGAATAAAAATTAGTCCTTTTGAAAGAATCATACTAGTTTAAAACAAGCTTGTATGTTTTACACTTCATATTTCTCTTGTTAGTATAATTACGTGTGGATGGAATCGATGCGATTCTCTTAACGATGATCCCAAAGGTGCAACCAGTTAACTCGAATAAGACAGGAACGCTCAATCTCTGACTTTCCCTCATTAATGAGTGAAGCCAAGATGGTGGATCATGAAGGTATGATCCAGGCCTCTGGCGCGGAAATTTCAAAGGAAAAATAAAAATCGCCGCTATTTTACCTACGAAATTTCCGCGTGGAGGACTGGATAGTACCTAGAAGAAAGGCTTCAGTGTACGCCATCTTGGCTTCAAACGTCCGACAGAGTGAGCGTTCCAGTGTTATTAGAGTTCACTGGGTGAAACAGCACTCACCAGCCTTCCACAACGCAGTCCGTACATCGTTTTCACAGTTGAAACTTTTCGCAAATTTATGCGAGTTTTCCAAAACTTCACAAAAGAGGAAAAGTTGCTGCGAACTAAGAAGTGGAAACATTCCATCATGTTCAATCTTGTTGACACGGCGAGGACCAGTAACTCCCTGGATTCAGAGAAAAAAGTAGTTCTTTCATGGAATAACTTTCAAAATACGGTCAGATAGGTCACACACAGGTGTGATGGTAATCCTTATTGTAGTAGAAATCCAGAGCAAATTGCAAACGAGACAATTTGTTTCGGGTATTGTTGAGTTTACAGTTTACTTTGTATTTTCTTACCTTTAGTTCCGCCATATAGTCTTCATCTTCGCGTCTGCTTGTACTTGGGTAAAACACAACATTATCGATCATTTGAATCAACTCTAACTGAACGACACATTTTATGATCAAAGAGTTGAACAGCATTCTTTCTGTTTGGATTACCGGTTTGTCCTCCACAGGTTCAAACCGTAAGCTGGGTGTACTGTGTAGGCTAATGCTGTCTTGTTCGCTGGTTTCTTGAATCGTGTCGTTCAAGTTTATCTCTTCTTCAATACTCTCGTGTGTCGACAGTAGTATTCCGTCCGAGTCATCTTCATCTGGGAGAAAAAAAGCTTAATTTTCAGCGCAAAAAGTGTTGGCATTGAAGTTTGAAATGAATTATTTGAAACCATATCAATCTCGGTCTACCTTCGGGGTACTTCGGAACGATGTCGTCTTCGAAGTCGACCGATGGCATTTTCTTTAAAAAAAAGCAAAGATTACAGATGCGATTCACCGTAGATGTAAAAAGACATGAAATACAAATCATATTTATTGGAAAATAAGCACGGTTAAGAAGCTCTACACAAAATTAATTGCATGCTCTAAGTTTACGTCAATAAATATTTCTTAAATATTATAATATATACGTAATGGTGACGTTGAACAGTCGTATGATCTCACCTTAACAGGGGAGGCAACTGGAGTGGCTTCAGGTGTTGGCAGGTTCAATACTTGTTGGTCAGCTGGCTTCCACGTTAACAATTGATGAGGTATGGTTGATTGAAATATTGTTTTGACACATTGACACGTTTGTTCCCAGACCTCTTCCGAAAATTTGTTTCCATTCGAGACAACAAGATTTTCCAAACAGTTGGTACCAGACCTCGCGAGCTGCTCGTTATCTGCAACGTGATGAAGAACTATGAACGTTATATATACACTGGATAGATAAAACTGGTTATAAACTGTTTTCCTTGGGGATCGAGTAAGGACCATCTCTTATTGATCCAATGATATAAAGTTTATTTAGGAAGTAATAATGACTAACTATAAAAAGATTGTACTTTCTTTCAAGGTTTTTACCACAGGTAGCCCGCTATTGTGTTGCTTCACATGAAGTATCCCCATCTTTAATTCAACTGCTGACCATTGCTGCTGACATTTTACCATCGCAAAAAATGGCGGCGCCTGCGATGATATGTCAGCAGTTGAATTAAGGATGAGGATACTTCATGCGAAGCAACACAATGGCAGGTTACTGTGTTTTTTACATGAAAGACTCACCCACCTTGTTTGACACACCACTCCAGATGACTGTACATATCGTCAAGAAGAATTTCAGCCAAAATATCAAAATATTGTGTGAAAACATCAATGATGGCGTACAGCGCATGATTGCAAGTTGTTGTCATCCATTCCGACTTCTGAAGAATATTGATCAGACAAGACGATAAACCTCACGAAAAAATATGAAATCAACAAGACCAAGTAACAAGCAAAACTATGGCACAAAATTTGATGCTTTGCCCTGTTTAATGAGAATACTTTTCAAGCTGGGTGCGTCAGAACACAACAAGGAATTGAGAGGGTGTGAAATAACATTGAAACAGTGAAAGATGGGCAGAAATTGGGTTGTCAGGTGCAGTCCGTCATTCCTTAAAGTTTTTCCTACCTCTTGCCAATCAATCTGTCGATCAGGGAGTTTCATATTGTCAAATATTCTGAAGACGACTTTAAAAACGTCACGCCACCAATTTTGAAGAAACGTGTTTCCATAAGTCTTCATTATCTCAAACATCACCGTCAGACCTCTGCAAGATTGGATAAAGGAGAAGTCTGACCATGGATTACACGAATTTTGCTTGGATACAAACTATGTTCCACTTTGGGAGGAAACCTAAACTAAACTTTATTCATAATAAAAAAAATGGGCCAAGCTGTAGAATAGACTAGTTAACTTTTAACTGTTGTTAGGGACAGACTCTGAGTGTATTTCTGAGTTTAAAGCTAGGATTTATCTATGTAAAATGTAGTTAAAGTGTCTTATACAATCGGTCCCTGGGGCTGGTTGTATGAAAGCCGGATAGCGCTATCCACCGAATAGTGTTTTTTTCAATCGCTTTAAAATCGCCTGTTGTTTGCCACAACTTTGATTAAATCTCAGTATTCCTAAATCGAGGATCCTCTTTAATAATTGTTGCTTTCAAGCTAAAATTTTATCGCTTTTCGAGCATTTTTAGAACGGTTGAAAAAATCACTATCCGGTGGATAGCGCTATCCGACTTTGATACAACTGGACCCTGATGGAGTGATGGATAAACTGATTTGAACAAACCTTGTTCTAACATCCAGTTTACATCTGTTGATTATGCACGACAGTTCAAAAAGCACTGGGAACCAGCCTTTTACCCAGATGCGATCTTGCTCGGATATATTAGCATCCTCGGCAGCGTGATCTTTGAACATCTAAAGACGAAAAGATTACGTAATGCTACAGTATCGCTCAACCACAGCCTGCAAACAGGCTCCTAATTAAAAGGGCCTGTGAACTCACCGGGGGATTTTCAAAGACAAACTTGGCACAGTTTCGAATGAGTCTGATTGCTTCCATACTTGTGTCAGGAAAACTAGCATTACAAGCGAATTCGGACAAACATTTAACGGCGTCTTGGAACGAGTCGATTGTCGCTGAAAAATATTTCTCAAAAATCGTGGCTAGAATAAAACAGAGGTAGAGTTAGACAAAATATCACAACATTGGGTGAGAGGTAAGCCAAGAGTCAGGTATGGTAATGCCATTATAACCTGGATCTTCGTCTTTTGAGATTGCAAGGACGATCAAAAGAGGTCGAAAGAGCTGGTAGGTTATAATTGTTGTTGTTTCACAAACCTGTAGTTTGAAAGGCCAGTTCAACAATTCCTTCGTCGTGATCTGATGCTGCCAAATGAAAAACGGAGAAGACATTCTTCCAGCCTGATTTGATGTTCACAGCTTGTGAATGAACCATTTGTGTCACACAACGAACCACCATATCACGTATTGTGGCTGAACTGTTGGAGAATATCAAACCAAGCACGTTTAGTTTGTACGAGAATATCAAACCAAGCACGTTTAGTTTCCTGTCACCACTAGCAGCGTAGCTTTGTCGTGCAAACACTCAGACAATCTTACCTATTCTTCTTCATGATGTACTCAAAAGGTCTCAGAAAGTCCTTTTGAAAGCGGAAATTAGGCAACTCTCCTTTTTCTAAGAATTTCATAGACAACTGTCGCAAAGAATCGACGCAGAAGAAGGCCACTTCTTCGTTGGGATTACAACCACACTGCAATAAAAAAAAACTTAAATGATTCTCAGAACCTCATTTCAAAAGGAAGAACTGATAGAGCTATCCAGTATAAACGTACAGTTGTAGTTCAGCAGTATCCCACCTTATTAAAATGATCTCCCAATACGGCCCATATCCTAGACCACTGCAGTCTGATACGACCCATGTTATAATACGCAATCTCAACGATTTTTTGAAGACTGAACATTCGTATCATGGTCGGATTTGAAAGCTCGACTTCGGAAACTTGTCGCAAAGCCGCAACAAAATCAACTAAAAAGAAAATCACGAATACATCTTAGCGCTGCAGGCTTCACAAAGTTGAAGAACGAAGGAAAATATTTCAGTTTTTATTTCTGCCATTTGAAAATACTTCGACGTCTTTAAGGTCTTTCTCGGGCAGTGCTACACATTATACTATATCATTTAGTGTACCTATAGCATCCCCATCCAGCTTGACTGAACCAGTAAAGACTCTGTAAAAATCATCAATAAACTATCAGGAACATATCAGAGTATAGAGTATGGGTACAATGGGTGATGGTTCTAAGATCTGGGGCTGGCTGTATAAAACTCTTTAACTACATTTTACCTATTTTTCAGATTCAGACTCTGATTGGCCAATTCTGTCCTTAACTACAGTTAAAGGTTAACTAGTCTTTTATACAACTGGGCCCAGGTTAAACAGAGATACGCATGAATGGTACAATATGATATCTTGTGGTAATGGCCAGTTGAAAACAAGTCGGAATAGAGAAGATCTCTTGTTCTCTACCTGTCTACAGCCACGACGAATCTCGAACGCTCCGTCTCCCCGATAGCTTCCTGAGCGCTGGCCATTTTCTTCGAATCTGCTGTGGTTTGCGAACGACCTGAACATTTTGAAATAAACCAACAAGAGTTAGTTGACATGAGCTGAGAATCAAGTCACTACCTTGAATCTCAACACGAAGAAAATGAACTCAAAGATTTTCCATCAAACCAGTCAAAACGAGTTACAACTCATTTCTACCGACATCATCTGAGGTCAACCCACCTGCCGTGGTCTCGTGAGATACTCTACGATTCGTCACGTGTGTTGTTCCAGAGTTTGTAACACCGCTGGCTCCCGTATGAAGGTACCGCGTTTTCACTCCAGTGCCAATCAACTGCGCAAGCTCAAGTTGAGAAATACATTTCAATATCTGAAACAAATAAGTTGAGGTTAATGTCAGAGCAAACTCGTTCTTCACAACTAGGACGTGAACAGACCTCGGGTGGAAAAAAACGGAGGTGTAGACAAATCAGTATATGGAGAGATTTATATCTATATCATATCTATTTATATCAAATTTATTAAACAATGTTCAAACGGAGAAAATGCAAACGGAACGCGAGGTCCCATGCAAAGCATTCCTCCGATTCCATATACAAAAACAAATACCACACAGAAGAAACATAAATTATATACGTAGCTACACGCATCGAAGAATAAGCATATGCCATAAGCTCGAAAATCAAGTTGTTGTTGTTGTTTTTTTTGGAAAAGATTTAAATTTATCAGAAAGAGATAGTTGCCTAAGATAATTTAAAAAACAACAAAAATCAGTATGAAAGAGAGATAGGGATCTCTGGTAGGTAGGAATATAGGAGCTGAAATGAATATCTTGCTGAGTTGTCTGTCTTTGAACTAGTTTGGAAACCATAGTGGTTGAATATATATTTAAAATCCTTACCTCGAGCCAAGATTTCCCGACGTAGTTACCATCCGTTTGAGCGATGGTAATTAAGGTCTTGATCGTCTCAATATTCTTCGTTTTCATCTCATGAATGTGAGTTCCACTGGTCGCCGTGAGGAGGGTGAACCTTGATAAAGCCTGCACGAACGCATCTCTTTCCAGCTGAAATAACATAAAAATATCACGAGATTAAAAGCTGGGGCCAGTTGTATCAAGCCCGTGTTTAAGTTCAAAATAGAAAGCAAGTCTATCGTTTTATTCAACAAGCAAACTAGATGTTTTTAACCTTAATACAAAGACACTGTTTACAACTACATATTCAGTGTATAATATACAAGTTGACTCATTCAAGAGAGATGCAAGAGTGTCATTTAAGTTCGACTTATCCACCGTTTAAGCTAAACGGGCTTGATACAACCGACCCCTGTTCTATATCTTTATAGCTAGATACTTTTCTAATTCATTTTGTTCCAGGACAAGTATTATATTTACGACATAACTAAGCCTGGCTAACCCTCGGGGATAATGATATTACAGGCTTCACTCACAGGCATGCTGAAGATGCAAGATATTCTGATAGCACAGCGGATACCATCTAGACACAACGAGGCTACCGCTGGATCATCGTTATCCTGGAGATTAACGCTAAATGCAGCCAAAAATGGACTCCAAGCCACCTTAAGTGAACGAAAAGAGTACGTTATCCAAGGAATATAAACTTAGGAACGTCTGTACTTGGTTGTGGCTCTCATTTGTGCCAGTTTTGAAACAGCGTTGGTACAAATCATTGGTACAAATCACTGGTAAAAATCATTGGTACAAATCATTGGTACAAATCATTAGTACAAATCATTGGTACAAATCACTGGTAGAAATCATTGGTACAAATCATTGGTACAAATCATTGACAATGACTGCACGATTCAGCTCAAAACTTGTACATTTTTACTTGTGCGAGAAATTCTCTCCTACCTTGAACATGGTTTTCACGTGTCCAATTTGTGTTGCGGTAACGAAATCGGTGTGGATATGACTGACGTCTTCCATCTGCGTTTTCGCGTTTTCAGCCATCTGTTCCATCTCCATCGAGTACAACATACGACGATGTTTCTCGCTTTGTAAATCTAGAAAGAATACGATAGCTTTCGTGAAACCAACAAGCTGAAAATTAAAGCCAAGGGCGATGGCTTACCAGCGAAATACTACCTCAAACACCGCAGGTTTTTTAACGTTACGAAAGGAACTAGTATCAATTTCTAAACACGAACTTCTCGAGAGAAAACGAGCTCGAAGCTCTGTCGTTGCAGCTATGAAACAGCTAAAAGGTTTGTGATTATTTCACTGCTGTTACAAGCGGCTATTTTAACACGCGAGAAGTAACAGACCAATCGAGTCATTTACAAATCAAATTATTGGGTTACAGATTACGACGCAGTTGTAGGCAACAGTATAACTTGTAGAGACCTACAGAAAGGAAAGTCAGACTTACAAGTGGCGTCATATCTGCTGTTCACTTTAGGCGTGTGTTTCATTTTGATCTCGTTTTGAGCAATATCATCGTAAATCGTCTCGAGGTATTCAGGTGGAAGATCTTTGTTATCGTTGATACCACGATTCATTTGAATATATTGTTCTTTCGTGATCTTACGTTTCACCTGAAACGAGTTAAACATCGACAAAATTATGCATTTTTTCATAAGATGGCAAGAACAGGCAACGCAGGAGATAGAATTGTTTTTTATGTTAAGGTAGAAAATTCGCTTCATACCTGAGAGCTGTGTAGGTCAGTCGTTAGCATAATGATAGAGTAAGCCAGAACGTAGGCTGCGTCGGCGCTTGCAAAGACATCATCGCTAAAAAGATCATGACAATTATTGTAAGGGAACCACTGCAAACGATCGTTCAAAAAGCAAGCAGAGAAAGGCTTACTTGGGATTCGTCTCACAGAATCGACTCGCAAACTTCTCCATCAACCTGTCAATCTTCTGAGCCTCGCCAGGCAAACGAAAGTTGTGCAGAAACAGACGTAAGGCTTGTACGAGGTTCATCCCCGAGAACTCCAGTTGGTCTATGTACGCATACATCACCTCGCGTTCATATCTAAAAGGAAAAAATATCAAGCATATGATTACTAGTTTGCGCATTAACAGTTGCTATGGATTGCCACAAGATAGTGTTCTAAAAGTTCTATACTTACTGGCCTGGGTCCCCCAACAGCTCACCAATCATTGTCTAGATAAGAACAAAAACGTAAGCAGTCATCATAATACGACTATTTCACACAACAGAAGGAGACCATCTCAGGGCCTGTCTACATGAAGCGTGTTATCTCGGCTAGGCGAGGTAAAAAGCGCATCGTCCATACCAAAGGCTTAACCTGATTAGTCTTTCATTGTATGCAGTTTTCACCTCGCCTAGCCGAGGTAACTCGCTCCATGTAAACAGGCTCTTAATCATACCTAAATGCCAGCGGCATCCTTTTTGCAGGTCACCGCGACACTCAAGTTACATACAACAAACCAAGCCCTGTGTATCCCTGTGCATCCCTGTGTATCCCTGTGTATTCCTGTGTATCCCTGTGTATCCCTGTGCATCCCTGTGTATCCCTGTGTATCTTACCAAACATCTCATTTACCTTGTCTAATTTGTCGTCTGTAAGTAGAAACTGAGCAACTTCTGTCACGGAGTCTCCCAGCAAACCTTCAGCTTGAAGAAACTTCAAACCTTTGGAAGGCGATTTATTAAATCTACGAAAATATGTTACAATAAAAATACGTTAAACGTGCAACTGTTTCATGCAATGACATGCAAGAAATCTCGAAAGGCTAAACAGCTTAACCGGTGGATAAGCCAAAGTTAAAAAGCACTCTCATAAATCTTGTGAATGACTGAACCTGGATGTACTGACCATTGGAAATTAAAATATTTACATCGAAATATTTCAGCTCAGTTGTTCGATAACTACATAATATTGCTTTCCATTTTGAACTTATCCACCGTTTAAGCTGAATGCCTTTCGAACGGTTGGGCCCTGGATCTCTAAGAAGGACGGTTTACTGTTGATCCATGGAAAACAAGAGCACATGCAGTAACTTACAATTGTATTCCTTTTTCTCTGGTCTCCTTCTTTTGTTTCAAGCTTTCAAATTGTTCTGCATTATCAAGAGGCGGTCCATTATTGAGAGAGGATTGACTACCTCCTGGTTTCATTGACTGAAGATTTTCCTCTCCTTCAGCGTTTCCACCATCTTCCTCAAGTAAACTTTCCTTGCGAGGCATGGTCGGTGTGCCATCGTCGAAATCTTCAAAAAAAACCAGCGAAAACAAGTTTAGGAAAACTGCATTTGCATAGGTGATTGGTTTGAATAACTCTGTCAGTTCTAAGCTGTTCATTCTCAGCACAAGCTCATCCAGAGTTCAGCGAAAAAAAAGCTTAGGAAAACTGCATTTGCATAGGTGATTGCTTTGAATAGCTCTGTCAGTTCTAAGCTGTTTATTCATGCTCGTCACAAGCTCACCTAAGTTATCATCAACTTGCGAGTCAGGTTTGAAGTACAGATCCCGGCTCCACTCGACCATACATTTCAAAATTGAAACCAAACACTCGAGACCTTTGATACGAATACTACGCTCTTGCACCTGTGAAACAGACGATGTAAAGGTGTTAAAAACTTCAATTTCCGGGTGTGCTTTCATTGATCATGTCCCAAAAAATAAAGACACTCACTGGAGTGGCACCAAGTTCGATAGCTTGACGACCTTGAGCGACTTTCGAAAGATCGTTGATCAATCTCTCAAATATATTCGATAAAGCGAGTTCACAATCGTAGTTTAGATAAATATCAACCACAGTTTGGGCATCTAAGAAACGGAGAGGTACTGTTAAAGGAATTATATTTCGTCAGATATTGTGCCATTTTTATACTGAGGTGAAACTACATAAATACAGCCATATCTTGATTGATGTAACATAGATACCCTAGTTATTGTCATATGTTGTTCTATTAAAAGCCATCAATAAATTTACTAACCCGAACAAATCCTCGTCAAGGTTTGCATAACCATCCATTTGTGTTGAAATGAACTGGTCGAAGTCTCCAGAATGTTGAGAAAGATATCTTTGAAGAAAACCTGAAATACGAGAAAACGTTTCCAGATTTAGGAACGAATATTCTATCATCCATCCACCTCCTTGCTCAGACTTCACAAAACTTCATAAGGACCTACCTCGATCTGCATTTTGAGATGTGTTTTGAAATAAGACAACAAGGTGAGGAAGATTGCCAAGGATAGTTCAAACACAGCAGGCACGGATGACACGCCATTTTTAGATAAGGCCACGCACAAATATTGTTTAATGGCGTTGATAAACATGGGATGAGTGCGGAACACTGGACCAGCATTTTGAAGACAAGATAACAGAAGTTCAAGAGAAAGAATTTTGGATCTGAGCTCATGAGACCTGTAGAAATGATAAAATAATCCTGTTTAGGTTTCCTCCTGTGGATACAATCACCCAGTGAAGAATCACCACACCTTTAGGACTGAAGTGAATAAAGTTAGTTTAGTTTAGGTTTCCTCCTGTAGTAACACTGGATCAATAAGAAATGATCGTTACTGGAACTCTAGGAAGAACAGTTTAGAACTGATAGAGCTATCCAGTATAAATAAAGTTAGTTTCGCTTAGGTTTCCTCCTGTAGTAACACTGGATCAACAAGAGCTTGCTTTTACAGGGCTTCTAAGCACAAAATTATTGGTTAAACATAGTATAATCTTACTTGGGATCCAGAGGTCCTTCAGCTAAGGGTTTCATAGAGAGCTTACACAATGAACGGAAAACCAAGAAAGCATCTTTCTGGGTGATATGAGAGAACCTTTGCTTTGTCTTTCCATCGGCTGCTCCTTCCCCGGGCATATCAGAATGATTTTCAGATAATGAACTTCTAGCTGTGTCCAGGCCATCTTCATGACCTTCTGAAATATCATCTGGTATCGTAGCAGCTCTCTCAGGCTTGGCTTGTCCATCGTCCGGTATTTGAATGGGCGGAACTTTCACAGACTCTTTGGAAGCATCGTCTTTGGTCTCATCGGGATTCTCTGTAGAAACACTCTCGGGTTTTTCGGCTGGTTTGTCTTCGGAGGTTTCTCCCGAGGTCGAGTTAGCTTCGTGAGGCGGTTCATTTGACGCTGTCTCGTTCTGTTCAACCGAATCACTTGAACTCTCCAGAACATCATAGCTTTTCCCGTCAGGAATGTCGGAAGAGTCGTGGCTCGCAGCTTCGTCGTTTTGGGGTTGTTCTAGAACTGTGTTACCATCTGAGTCGGCCGGAGCTTCACTCTGTTCTCCTTGAAACATCTCAGATTGCGAGTCTCTGGTGTCATCTACGTTCACATTTTCATCGTTGGCTTTGTTCTGCTCGTCTGCTGGACTGTCCACATCACCTTCTGTTGGGAAGAAATCAATTTTAGTAACGGTTCTCAGAGAAAAATCACCACGAGTTATTTTCATGAGATGGTCAAATTTTCGACCATGTGGTAAGGTTGAAAGAAGTTAGAGAATGACTAAAGCAACTCCATAACGCACTTTGTCGTATCACGGTAGATACGGTCCTTCGAAATATCTACTCAAGAGGAATGAACAATGTCTTGCAGACGGATATAGAGGTAGTTGCAAAACTATTGTTAGAACGTGTGCAAGATATAACAAGGATTAGACTATACATCAGTTGTTTTCAACTATGTTTGTGAGGTGCAAGTGCAAAACGACGTTGTTCTATCTTCTTTTTATCAACTGGAAACATTTTGAGGATCTTAACTCGTGTCAGTATTACAGTAAGAACACACAGCACAGGTTATCATAACATACAGCACCTCTTAAATCAACCCCCTCGTCTTCATCCTGAACGACATCACCATTAGGCAGCGTCTGATCAACCTTCACATGATCTTCTTCGTCCATTTCATCCTGTTTTTCTTTTGCTTCAACTTGTTCCACTTCCTCTTCCTTGCCTTTCAAAGCCTCCTTTTCCAAAGCAAGTTCCTCCTGGAGCTTTGCATCAGCAACCTGGACCAAAGAAAATAAATTACCACAGTCCACAGGACTTCATTAGAAACATGTGTTAAACCATTTAGCATGGCCTAAAGAACTTACAGCTTGACTCTCCATTCTTTGAAAGACCAAACTGATCATCTGCGTCAAGGTGGCTTTAGCTGTGGTTTGATTGATCAGATTCCTGCTGGCCAGGTAGATATTATAGACCGTACGGACAGCTTGAAGCAATGTTCCTTCATGAACCTCGCAAGTGCTTGATGTTACCGCAGTGAGAAGAGCCTAGCACACAAATTATAAAAACTGAACGATAGGTTTTATCAGGTTTTTTCCTATTTTAATTGTTCAATGTTTTGAACATTTTGAATGGCAAAAACATCAACTTCACCAGTCTTGAAGTGGGCGTTGAATGATGATTTGGTGAAAAACTTTTACTTGTGCAAGGCAAGGAATTCAAGCGTACCTTTATGATTTGCAGCTGAACACCCTCATCCGTATCAATTCCAGTGAAACAACTGCATATTGTATCAATTATTCGGTCTATCAAACGCTTTTCAGGCTCGACCGAATCTGGTGTGTCACCAATGATATGACCATAGGCAATCAGTTTCTGAGAATGAAATAAACATTTTAAAAAAAATCCTGAAAATTTTACAAACATGGAGAAGATAGGTTGCAACAAGGCATATATATGAGTCAGTGTTTATCAAATTTTATTTTTACTACCTGTATGCAATCCAAGGCTGTTATCACAATTCTTGAACATTTCGATCGACACGCCAACTCAAATGGCAAAAAGTACTGGTCCGCAGTGATGAACGTTTGTTGACCAGGAGGAGGAGGTAGGGTCGCAGAGGAACTGTCCCTGTTGTCCCTGACAAAAAAATTTAGAAATGATCAACACGTTGTAGTGTTCATTACACTTTATATGGCTTTCTAACAGGTAGTTAACATTATCAAGAAACATTTATTTCTGACAATACCCTGAAGACTTTTCATTGCCGTTCCCTTGTGCAACATTAATGTCTTCTAAAAAGAAGAATAATCTTGTTGAAATATAAAAAATGTGGGTGGAGGACATTTAAGAAAGTCTACAATTGCTCTTAATAAAGCTATGGCACATTATCAACTTACTGTAACAAAAATGAGCTAGAATTAATGATATCTCAATGGAACAGGTCATGTGAATTAGGACAAGCTGGGACAAATATCTGATGCTTGAAACATGTAAGAATTAATATGGTTTCTTTTGAACTCATTAGGAAAAGCAGAATGCCAGTTGATAGTATAACATGAGTTCTTGATCATTAGTAAGTATTGTACATTTTGACAGTTGCTAATCTACATTTAACAAGGTGTTATGTAAGGTATAATATTGGTCGGTAACTAAAATATTGACAGCTTGACGGAGCTCACTGCAAAATTCATTGTTTACATTTCATCCTAAATTCCAAAATCAAAGGTCCAGGAAATTATTCCTAGAGTTTCACTAAATACTTGCTGTTAAAGTTTAAACATAATGATCAACTTTTTTAGCGCTATTTCTGCGCTGTTTGTTAAAGTTTATACAACAAATTAAATCTCCCAATGGAAAGCGAATTCCTTGTATGATCTTCAATTTTCAGCAATTTATATAAAACGCACAGCGAGAGTTTTATAAACTGAGACAAATTCTATAAACACAGTTTAAATAAACACATTGCATGAACTGCAAACAGTTGATATTAATTGTAATTTGCCATATTACCCAAAGCAGTTTCGCAAGCTTTCTTCAATTGTGAATGGTGAGATTTCTTTGTCTCTTTATCGTGAAGGATTTTCTCCAAAGCGCGTGAAAGAAAGACATTTTTAGTCTTTGTGTTCCTGTGCATAGCGTGAGCCGACTTAAAAACACACCATACGACGCGAATGGACAAATTTCTCAAATATAAAAGTACGTTCGTGCATTTAATAATTTCTACAAATTTTCCGCCATGTTGTTTCTGTGTTCCTGTAGCAAAAAATAGTCACGTGATCCTCCTTAAAATTCCACAACCCGCAATAACGCAGTCACTTAGGCGCAAAAAAAAGACAAAAAAAACTCGTTGAAAGACAAAACCTTCAGTATTTCATAAAGAATACTACTCATTTTAGTATTTTAAACACTTTTCGATCTAATGAAATCCTTCAAAGTATGCGTAACTTAGCCAGAAATACCTCAAAGCTCAATGGCGAGATACAGATACTACAGTTTCATTAGAGCTCAGTGGTAAACACTACAGTTTTTCATTAAAGCTCAGTTGCGAAATACCACAGTTTCATTAGAGCTCAGTGGCGAAATACTACAGGTTTTCATTAGAGCTCAGTGGTTTTGACTTTGTACTATAGTTTTCACTTTGAAAAGAAAATAAAGAAAACATAAACAAAACAGCATTCTCTATTTTTGTTTATTCTTGTAGTAAAACATCTCTTCCGCCGCTAATCATGGGTATACCTCATCTAGTTCTGATCCATGGCTGGATTCCTTTCGTTGTTGTCATTTTCGTAAGTCGTTGTGATGCAATTTAGCTATATTTATCATGACATGCAAGTGCGCAATTTTACCCAATGTTTTTGCACGAATCAATGAACTTATTGAAGATATACACTCAATAATATGAACTGTTTTATATGCTAGTTTATTATAATGATACCGTAAAATTGTAGAATCGTAGTAAAACTAGCCATCTCAAATACAATTGTCGTTTCTGCAAGCTAGATCTTGCGGTCATAATTACCTTTATATTTCGTGTTTGAGTCTCGTGACAGAGAAATCATTTAGCAAACGCAACTGGAAACAACCGTTGTCAAATGTTTGAATACAATTTAGGTAATCTTTGTGTTTTCATGGATCTATGTACGTTACTATCAAGATCATTTGGAGTCAGAGCTCTCAACCACCATCACATCAATCATTGCGTTAACCATTACACTGGTGACATCAGCTTTGGTACCTTTGGACATTTTCCTGGTCTCCTACATGAAAAATACCGACGGAACATTCAAGGTGAAAGCATGCTATAACCCAATCTTCTCTAAGGTCATGTAATGATGTTTCCTGATTTGTGTTTGCTTGTTATATTAATTATAGAGCTGGGCAGCTAATTTAAGTGAGAGGAGTTTATTTGAAGATAACATTAGTTATACATACTACGGTTAGTGATATTTCGCTGTCATTCAACCCTTCGTATACACAGAGAGTACCATCAGGTGATGGTTTAACTGATGCCCTTTCTTGCACATAATTGACAATTAGATCACCTGTTTGTGTTGAAAGAACTTTGCTTGTATTTATTTCTAGGTCTTTATTCGGTTGTGATATTGTTCCTCTTCTTAATCCTGCCATTCATGTATTTCTACTTCGAAGAACAAGATGATGATGTCACATGCAAAATGGTAAGAATGTCAAAGTGTGAGACACTTGTTATGAGTGCGACTGCAGTCATTAGAAACTCGTTATGTGCATTGCCATCTTCGTTATGTATTGTTTCTTTCTCATTGTGCAATATCATTGGTTTATATTTCTAGAGGATGTGCGGAGCAATGAAGTACACCTTGGTTTTTATTCTGGCCGCATCAATAATTCTTCTCATTGGGTAAAAAGGCAGAAATATATTGGGAAGACGAAGGCCAGGATTAACAATTACACTGATGAAAGTTTAATTTTGCAGGAGTTTTGTTCCTCTAAAACATCCGCCCAAGAACGTCACCGAATGGGATGATAAACTGAACTACCTCAAGAACGAAATAAAAACGTCTCGTATGTAAACATTTCTATTAAACATGAATTATCTAATGGATAAATATGAAAATTTCTTAGTAAATGCAATATTTTTCCCAGCAATTGATTTACTGGGAAAGCTATACAGGTACACCCTCCAGACAAAAACATTGAAATCATACCTATTTTAATTCAGATGGAGAAACAGCATTGACGTTTACCATTGGACTTCTCACATTTGTTGGTCTGCTTTCCATCATCTCGTACACAGTAAGAATGAACCCATGAGTGTGTAGCTCAGGCCATTTCCCAAGGCATTTTAGCCACTGGGGTAGAGTGGGGCCTTTTTTAAGTCGAGACAGATGAACCCATTTCTACATTTTTTCAAGCAGAAATTTGGTTCCTTTTCAATTGCAACACAACACTATCGTAACATAACTGGTATGTCACAGAGGCATTGCAGTTTATTGTATTTTTTCTTGATATCCCGTTGTCTAGGCATATGGCATGTCTGTTCTTCCTCTTGAGCTCATAAAAGGCTACAGAAGCATTAAGGTATGCAATAAATAAATGATAGTTTAAAACGCACCATCAGACTAGAATAACGTCATCTTTACCAAACATCAACGGTCAGTCTTAAAGCAAATCATCTCGGATATTCCAAAAACCATCTCTCAAGATGAGCTATCCATGTTAACTCGCTAATTCTTTCCCTATATTCGTATATATCTCTGTTGTTTTTGCTGGATTTCCAGTTCCGTTTGAACCATATAGTTTATTTTTTCGCCAGGATGAGAGATATTCCTTGAACGCAAGACGTGAGAACCTCCAATCACAGATTAACTTGTTGACGGACAAATACGTCGGTAAACGTCGGATGTCGTCGCGCGATCGCTCAAAATTGACGAAGCTCGAAGACGAAGAGCGTTTGATTGGTCGGAGACAAGGCAAACTGGCTGACGCTGATGCCAAATATTGCAAAAACTGTTTTGTTTTATTTCGACCGTTTCAAATCGTTTTGGGAATCTTTCTTTTCCTTTTGGCTTTGTTGATAGTCGTATCGCTTATAATCACCGGGTAGGTTCTTTACTGGACCTCTAGGAAGAATAGTTTAGAACTGGTAGAGCTATCCAGTATAAATAAAGTTAGTTTAGTTTAGGTTTCCTCCTGTAGTGACACTGAATCAATATAAGAGATGATCCTTACTGGACCTCTAGGAAGAACAGTTTAGAACTGATAGAGTTATCCAGTATAAATAAAGTTAGTTTAGTTTAGGTTTCCTCCTGTAGTGACACTGGATCAATATAAGAGATGATCCTTACTGGACCTCTAGGAAGAACAGTTTAGAACTGATAGAGCTATCCAGTATAAATAAAGTTAGTTTAGTTCAGGTTTCCTCCTGTAGTAACACTGGATCAATAAGAGATGATCCTAACTGGACCCAAAATTGATGAAAGCAGTAGAACGTGAAATAACATGCAATCTTCTTTCTAGGATCGACAAAGCACTGCATTCTCTTGGCTATAAATATGGCTATTCGCTTCCTGATCCGAAATTCGTCAACCCAGTCAACAAAGTCATGCTGTACGCACAACTGGTAATCACTTTTCTTCTAATGCGCGGTATTCTCGTTTAGAAAACTTAACGCACCGAAAACGAAACTAAATCCTATCCAAATCCCGAGTAATTTTGTTGCCTTTCCAGGTATTTCCCGTGGACTATTGTCTGTTTTTCGGAATCGTTTTTTACTTTGTGTTCTGCACGATGGTCGGAATGAGAAAGACTGGAATTCGCTTTTTCTGCCTCAAAGTATCCTTTACAATCATTAAAAATCACTTGGGGAAACTTTCTTTTCACTGTCCAAAAGCGTTTTATGTGTTTGAGTCAGATTAAACCACTCGAGTTGACATGGACTCTGAAGCCATTGTAGAGTATGTCATGGAGAGCAACGGAGCTAGGCCCTGGGGACGAGGATGGTCGCGTATTTTCTGTTCAGTTTCTTTAACTTGAATCCAAGCTTTATAAAATACGTCCACGTAAAACTTTGCCCCAGGCTCTGCTCTTCTTCGTGTTTATTCTGATGTACGTGGTGTTAGCAATCAACGTGATACTCATGTCGTTGGCACCTCAGTATTTGATGTATGGTAATCAAAAATACCAGATCAAGGTATAGGAATATCACCTTTAATAGTCCACGACGTTACAAGTGTTTCTCTAGCTTAACCCCACCTAAGGTTTTCACAACGTTCAGAAATCCACTTCCATCAATAAGAGATATTCATATTCTGGATCACTAAGAGATATGCATTGAATTCTCAGTGCGAGAAATACATAACAAAGTTTTCTTTGTTAAAGGTGTTTCCCAACACAACCAGAACAGGAAATACCACGACACATGGAAATTTTACAACGAAAACGTACGATTGTTCCACCAAAGTGTCAAACGGTGAGTCTTGCGTGTCGAAGGGTGAGTCTTGCGTGTGCAAGAGCCATATTTCGTGCTCTTAAATTGCGTCCGAGCGTGTTCTAATCATCCTTTTATGAAATTTCTTTCACCAGAGCACTGCACAATGAGTCGTATCTCAGTTCTTCTCTCAAGATTCTTTTATAAAGTTTGGTTCTTTGGTGTTTGTGATTTCTGGGGAACGTGGGTGTTTCTTCTGGTGAGTTTACCACCGCATGAACTTTTCTTCAGTTTCTCAGCTTGGCTGGATGCCCAGTCGGGTAATATCGGATCACAGAGCCACAGGCTTGATTTTCGAATTCTCGCATGAAATTTGCAACGGTATTTTAACAGTACCTCTCCCATAAGAATGGACGAACATTTAGGTATTTAAATTTTGAAGACATATTCAGTTGATGAATCCAACTGTTCAACCATAATTCCTTGTCTACATGCAGGCATTTGCAGTTGGTTTGCTCGTATCCTGTTGCAAAGGACGACGATCTTACATCGGAGATATGGACTCAAGTGATGACGAGTCCAGTAACGAATATAGATCCATTGGTACCTGATGTACACAAGAATCCCTAGGAGTCTACTGTAATTTATCAACGGATACCAAGAATTATCCTATAGTCGTCGTTGTCGTCCCTTCCCAAACGCTGAATCATATTTAATTATGGCAAATTAATTAAATAGGACTTTTAAAAAGCATCCAAATCAAAGTCATACTAGTTTAAATCACCCGTTAAACGGACGTTTCTTTTGCTATTTTTGACTGAAAAATCAAATGTCTTTGGCAACATTTTGTTTGTAAATAATTATGTACACATTGTTTTGACTGAGAAATAAACTTGAAAACCGTGGTTCTATTCATTGAAAATCTCGTTAGAAAACTTGGTCTTCAACACAATCTTCAGCGGCCATATCCGACAGACACTGTATTGATGTGAATTATTGCACCGTACGGCACAACTGCTTTGTTTAGTTATAACATTTGCGATAATAAAAATCACCTTAGTCTAAAAATATCCAAGAAAAACAATGTAAGATTCACTGTGTTGTAGATCACTCCGAGATGAATAATAACTTTAAACAATCTTCATGCACTTCACCAAAGGTGCCCGCGAATGCATGTAAGTAACGTGCAAGGGTTAGCCGTGTATTCATAATTATACTATATTTTAATCCTATGCGTGGATACATTTAGTATTTAGTATAAATTGATTAGACATTTGATAGAAATTTAGTATAAAATGGTTAATTTATTCTTCTATCTACAGTATTAAACATATAAATATATTCCTACAATTTTAGGCTGTTTATAAGCATCACTCGATTGTACAAACTTTAGATCTATATAAGCAACAGAAATAAAATCTTGTTGGCTTGTGAAAGAATTTCTCAAGAGCTTTCTATCGCAATTTAATCATGCGGCGAACGACGGTAATTTTCTCACGAGAACATTAAACAGTATACCTACACGTTTGCACTTTTTCCCCTTCCTCCAACACTTGCATTTTCCACCTGGAAGAAAAATAGAATAACTCACTCGAATATTCAAATAAATAAAGCCTAGAAAGGCATAGTACAGAATTGTTGTAATGTAGCACGCTTAATTCCTTTTCAATCTACCCCTTTGCATTTTATACTTTACATTCTATGATAAATTACGTTGATAAGAAAATGGCTCTTACCTTGCCCGACGAGGCGCTTATTGGCTGAAAGAGAAATCGTTATATGTCAGACATTGGATTAAAAGTAGAATAGAAGGTATACCATGAAGTATCGGTAATCGTTATCTATACAGAACTCACTCGGTTCGAAGGCGCGACAAAAGCTTCAATCACAAGCCATTTCTGAGTTAGGATTTCAACATCTTTATCCGTCAATGGTTCGCGTATACGAATTTTCACCTCGATTTTCCCGCCAATAGCCTTGCGACCTTTCTCAGGGTCCATCAGCTATAGATAAAAGGAATACACAGGCTAAAACATATTCTCCTGATGTGATATATAATATGACTTCGTGAAAAATTACACTGAATATATACAGATTCTTGTGCATGAGAGACCACAATACGAATAATGTATGGTGTATTTATCAAGTGATGTCTTACATCAACACATTCGTGAATTTCACATCTGTTATCAAACGAAGAAAGTTTCACAACAGCTTGACCAAGCGATTTGTCACCTTTTAAAAATCCTCTGAAAAGAGAAGAATAAGGAGTTATCATCTTTCGACTGCAGTGAGGGTCAAATATAACAACAAAACATGCAATTCTCTGCCCATGCACACACCTGGAATACTTTATTTCAAATTTAACTCCTTGCCGTCGAAATATTCTCGCTAGGGACCGATTTTTTCGGTCAATCGATAACTTAAACTTTTGTTGAAACTCTGAAAAATAATAAAAACATTCAGCGTAACTGCACAAATTAGGTATATTGGAAAGAATGAAGACGTTTCTCCTCAACTCTTCTGCTTCACCTGGATTTATGGAATGTTTAACTGTTTCAGTAAAACCAGCTTGGGGCTGATCCTGTTGAGGAAATAAAATATTACGTTACCCCGCAAAACTAAGACAAGTTGTGTACAGAAAGATGCTAAATTCCTGGGGGCGGTTGTACGAAAACTGGATAGCGCTCCTCCACTAGTTAGTGGTTTTTCAATCGCTCTAAAATAGCCTGTTGTTCGGTATAACCAGATTAAACGTTAGTATTCTTAAATTGGAGGTTCTTTTTGGTGACAGTTAGCTCCAAATTGTGACTTCATTGCTTTTCAAACTTCTTTAAAACGGTAGACAAAATCACTATCCAGTGTAGATAGCGCTACCCAGGCATTCGTAAACCGACCCCTTAACGGCAAGTGCCGACTCTGAGACGTTCCTTCTTCACTAAATTAAACACTTACGTTTGGAAATGGAAATTCGTAGGACACGTAAACTTTCATATCCTCCTTGCTGTAACCTTAAAAGATGGTCAGAGGTCTAAGACAAGGGGAGTCTAAAACAACAACACGTAACTATGGGTTATTTAAGATACGCTGTGTACTTACCAGACGGTAGAGGAATGTTTATACATTTTATGATATTTATTTCACAATCCTGATCGCCCATGTCCGTATTTGACCTGCAAATGACAGCAAGAAAGAAGATGGTAGGAATGAATTGAGTGATTTGCAAAGTTAATTCAAGGAGTAGTGTTATCTGCATATACACTGTACTTTTTGAAAGGCTGCTGTAATTGGCGTGAGCTGTAGCAAAACTCTGCCACGATTATCAGTTGTGAATATTCATGCATTTGTATTAATTTTGTGCTGTTCGTGTTAATTCCATTACTGTATCTTGTATCCAAGTGGCAAAGCAAAAAAAAAAAAATTAAATAAATAATAAATACCTGACAATACTAAACGTCCTATTCTCGTAATGATATCTAGGCGGGGGTTTGCCATGTTTAAAGGCGCTTTGTAATGAATCATAATCTTTCTTGCAGTTCAACGCCAGTTTCTCAAACCTTAAAAAAGACAGAGAATTTAACAAACCATGAATAATAAAGTCCCTGGAATGAGGGAAAGTAATTTCTGCACATTTTAATATACACCAGCAATGGTTAAAACGAAAAGTTGAAAGCCTTTAGGATCAGCTGTTATTTTGAGTCGCTACCTTTTCGAGTTTTCAAGATCTCCAATCTTAGAGTAGTGAGCAGTGTTGTTTTTGCACATCTAGAAAACAAATAAATAATTCTTCAATCCAATCATCGTTCATTCAACCTCTTGCAATAATTGTTAATAATTATTTCTGTATTTCAAGACGCTGTGTTGCTAACCTCGTACTGAGATTTCAAAGCCTTCTCCAGGCTCGCAAACGTCTCCTCGCGGCCGCTGGGTTCTGGGGTGCAATCTCCCTCTTGAACTGTGACGAAATCGCTGTCCGCGGCGATTGATCCCGGGAGACTCTGACCCAACAACGGAGACTCCGGTACCTTGGTGAGATCTACGCGTAGACCATTCCTAGCGGCCTCGATCATAGCATCAAATCCCTGCGGGTAAAAAATGAACGCTTTTCAAAACCCAGTGAAATATGCAAGCCAAGACATTGTTTTCAAGAATTAGACTCGGTCTTTACCGCAAAAGATCACTCTACCTTGGTCGTTTTAAGATGGCTCCTTGCTTGATCCAGATCACCTTGCTTCTTAGCTTTCAACGCAGCCATCTTGAACTCTTTCTGACGATCGATCAAAAACTGTAGTTCCTTTTCGTTTCTTCCTTTTGGTGCGGGTTTACCACCTGCTCCACCCGCGGCTGGTGGGGCTGGACGCTTTACTGGTGCGGGCTTGTTCGGGGCCGCTGGGGATTGGCTTGGGACGGCGGCTGGTTGGCGGGGCGCCTAAAGAATCATCTTACGGTAAATGGGGGAAATACAATGAACTCTGTCCGAGCGGACAAGCAACAAAAGCCGAAACCTTTCAATAAAAAACACTCTATTTAATTCCTAACACTGCTTTTTATGAATAAACTCATTTGTAGTTTGTCTATTTCAAACGAGGTCAAAGTGAAGGTAAATCATTGCAGCTTACCGTTGCCTGGGGGGGTGGTGGTTCAGTTGGAAAAGGAGGGTAACCAGGAGGTGTTGGTAGATCTTCAAGATTGAGTGGTTTCTTCGCCTTGAAGTCCCGAATAGCGTCTTGATATTGCTGGAAGAAAACAATAAGAAAGATGAATCATCTGGGTTTACAGCAACTTATTTTAAATTCGCCTTTCAAGCAATCAATAACAGCGAGGAAGCATTCATTCCTGTGTTTCAGAGTTTATCCTACCTTCAGAATTCTGTTCATTCTCCTCGCCTTCCCAGAATTCCCTTCTTTCTCAGCGTCGCGCACTCCAGATTGATATTTCTCCAGTCGCTGTTCGAGCGCTTCGAGAACCGTCTTTGGAGCGGCGGGAGGGGCTGGGGCTGAACTTGAAGTACTGACGTCAGCGGGCGTAGGAGTTTGGGCACCAGCAGTTGAGGACTGTGAGGGACCTGATGGGATAGGCTTCGTTGAAGGTCCACCTAATGTGGTTTGAAAAAGACAATTTGTCATTAAACTGTCACACGAACAAAAACATTTAAAACTTTGATATATGTACAAGGGGGTTTCTCCATCATCCCTGAGCAGACACAGTGGTAGCTTGTAGTGGGTTTAAGGCCTGAATTTGTTCTCACCTGGAAATCCAGGCGGAGGTGGAGGGCATTGACTGAGATCAACTTCTTTACCGTCTTTCACTGCTTGGATGACAATATCAAACTCCTAGACAAATAATAAAACCAGGGAGCAGCGTGGCAGCGTCTTCAAACAACTTAGCATCAAATGTGGTATAACAACTACCTAAAATAGACAAAACACTTCTCGACGTTTCGACCTGAGGGCCTTCGTCAGGAGAGTTAGTATGACTAACTAACTCTCCTGACGAAGGCCCTCAGGTCGAAACATCGAGAAGTGTTTTGTCTATTTAGGCAGTTGTTATACCACATTTGATTCTAAACAGACAACACAAACCTTAGCGAGGGTCCTTCAGAGTTACATATAACCACCCCATTTGTAAATAGCGTTGCATACCCGATTAAATGATATACCTTTGATATGAGAAGATATGTTTTTGCCGACTCCCTATCGCCGTCTCTGTTGCTGTTCCTTGCAGCAATCTTGTATTGATCTCGTTTTAATGCTAGGCCCTTGACAGTTTCCGCTACATCACTTGAAGTTTCAGGAGGTTTTACTTGAGATTCTGGTAGTTTAGGCTGGGGTTTTGCCTGGGCTCGTGGTAATGGTTCCGGAGCATTGGCTTTTGTCTGTGGAGTTGGTGGTTTTGATCGAGGCAATGGTTCTGGTGCACTGGTGTTTTTCTGCGGTGTCTGTGGTTTCGCTGGTACTGTGGGTAAAGGTTGGTTAGCCTTGACACTTGTGCTAGCTTCAGGAGTCCCAAGGTCAATGAGTGGTTGTGTGGGTGTATCAGAGGACATTGGGGGATGTGCAGGTGTTGGAGCTGGTGCTGGCTTATCTCCTCCTACAGTAAGAATGGTCTAGTACTCAGGCCTTTCACATAGTAAACACATTTCAACAATGTACACTTGCAACATGCCACATACACAAGTGTAAAGAGAAGGGTGAATATCATGACATGACAACCACTACCAACCTACTGCAACCTGAGGGGGAAGTTCAGCCATGTTGACTGCTTTTCCATTTTGAGCAGATTTCAACATCTTCTCAATTTCCTAAGAGAAACAATAGACCTTTTGCATTCAAATGTCTTGGACTTGTTAAACAGCAAAGAAGAACACAACAAATAAAGGAATCAACCTAGTGTACTCTCTCTTTTGTCCATACAAACTAAACCAAACAGAAACATTTATTTTTACCTTCAGTCCTCTCTTGTACCTCCTGGCTTTTCCACCTTCCCCAGATTTTTCTGCACTTGCTATTGCCATTTCGTACATTTTCTTTCTTTCAGCAATGACAGAAACATCACCCCCCTGGAATAAACAGACTAGGTTAGCACCACAGGAACCAAAGGGGGGGGAGGGGGCCACATAACCTCACCCACATTTTCAAACATCACACCTCTTGAATTTCTTTCAACACAGAAAAGAGTTTATCGAAAGTACTTTATTGTAATGGTACCTGAGCTTTATCTGTTGAGGTGCTTTCATTTGATTTTTGTGATGGGATCAGGGCAGGTGTTTTGTCCAAAGACGTTCCACTGTCCATTGGGCTGAGACCTTCCAATTCCGCCTGAAAGAATATATGAATAATAAACACAATTACCCTAGTTAACAAGTATATAGTGTTGCAACCTAAAGGTATGTACATCTAGGTTAAGGTCTGAGCTGATTACAAGGTAAAATGTATTTCATTGGATGTATATTTATATATTTACCATCAAATCAGCATCGTTAACATCATCATCATCGCTGACGTCATCCACGTCTTTCATACACTCAGCTGCCATTGCATCAATTGCAGATATATCCATATGCTCTAGATGAAAACAAAACTTTTATTAAGAGATTACCCAGGTAAGGTTATTGATTCCCCTAGTTGTTATAATTCCTTGTTTTAATTTACATCAGAAAGAATATGGATTAAGACTTGTGGATGAAAATTCCTGTATGATACTTGCAATAATTTTGCACAATTTTAGCTCTGAACTCAACCTACAAAATCCAGCTTTAATAGTTGAAAATCATAACCAACCATACACATACTTTTTTTAGGTCTTGTTGGCTTCTTTTGAGCTCCACCTCCCTGCAAGGCTGCAAGCTCAGCTTCAAAATCAGCATCATCGTCATCTTCAGCATCACCCATTCCTGCGGTTGGGTCAAAATCCATACCTATACCAAACTAAATATACTTGAAATATTAGAAAAATTTAGCTGAAAACATTGACAAATGTTACATGAAATGACGTCGACCGCCTGGTAAAATCTTACTCCATTTTCAGATCACCTTTGAAAATAAGGAAGTGATATGAATGATAAACTTATTAAAATTGTGGCTAATGCTGGTTCCTTTCACATTGTAGACCGACGATATCAGGTAATAGTCTTATATAGATGGTCCTTGGTTTGGGTAATATTTATCTCAGTTAGTTATGAACATTTTCATAGGTGATAGACAGAATTATTTATGTATAACTTATACTGTTCCCCTGCAACTTTTCACATAAAATTTCAAAACGCGATCATCACTTATACCGAAATAACATCAAAAACAATACATTTTTAGCTAGGAATTCTACAGTGGTATTTAAAATATGGGGGAACATCCTAACGAAAGTCAGACTAAATTCGTTGTTTTTAACAAATGCAGTGTAGGGGGAAGAGCTATCGATATTACACATAGGATATATTTTATTTTTGTATTTACCATTCCTAAGTCATGTTTCCTTTGCCCAGAGCTTGGACGAGGTGTTTTCTTTTGACCAAACATGGTTGCCAACAGATGCAGGGGGGTGAAGACACATAAATGAGGTGAAATCTGAGGGTACTTTAGTTATTACTGAGACAAATCTCCATTTATTTCACCCCCCGTCACTACCCCAAATTATAACTTTGCATAAAAATCGAGCAAGGAGTCAATATACAAAACAAATCGAAGAAAATAAATTAAAAATAGTTGGTTTTTTGCAATGAAAATGCCGAGTTTAATAACTTATGAAAGAAAGCATTTAACCGAAGCGCAGTATCGTGCTTTAGGGTCGTATATCGCAAGGAAAAGATTGAAAGAAGACACATACGAGAATGGAATTGCAAGTAGTGATGTACCCGTTGACAACCAAACACTGCCTGAAGAAGAAACGCTCGATATTGAACCAAAAAGTCCTGTAAAACCGTCTCCTCGACAAATACGAATGGAAAAGGAGAAAGAATTGAACAGCGTTCAGACAGAACTAGCAGAACTCGAGACGATGCTCGTCAAATTGAAAGAAAAAAAACACGAACTCTTTGAAGAAGTGAAAAGTTTAGTAAATAAGGAAAGAGAAGCAAAAGAAACACAAATGCATGGCTATCTCTCGCCATTTATGCATCATCCTGGCATTGGACCAGGACCAGGAATGATGATTTCACCTTTTCGTCCAGGTAGTCAAAGATATGATTTGTTAAAAGAGATTGCTGGGCAGGATTACCTGAGAAAATCCCCCCTCCGTCCCTCCATAATTGTATCATGTCTGGGGCTCTTTCTCTCTGTGAAATCATTTGCCTTTGTAAAGGCAAATCTATGCAAACAGATTGTTTACAAACTAATTGCACATATGATCAAGTTTATATTCGAGTATATCTACCTTCTTGATTGATACCCTCTGTTGCAATTATTTCAATATAAATCTCACCCTGTTACAAACGCAGGTATGAAAAGACCAAAGAGCCCCTCTCCCCCACCCGTTCAGATATATCCCTCTTCAAGCATACAACAGCCATTTCCTCCAATGCCAAACAACAGAATGCAAGGTCCTGCAGAAAGCATGAATCCAAGTTATCAATTCCGACAGGTATCTATTGCATGCTGAAACCATCTGGAAATGTTTTGAATTTGCTTTGTTATTGGACCCAGGAAGGGGTTCTAATTGATCCATATTTTCTCTTTATCCAGAATTACCCTCAACGGAACCTACGACAGCAAGTTCATGGATCCCATGGTCCTAATTCTCCTCAACCCAGTGGCAATCAATTTCCTCCTGTGGACAGAAATTTCCCATCATTTGGAACCCCTCAAATGTCTGACAACAGAATGACGAGTGGACACTCCACCATCCCACCCCCGCCTCCACCAGCACAACCACCTTTCATGCAACAAAATATGGTACCACATCATTTTGTCTTATTCACGAGTCTTTTCAATTGTTTAACCATCAATCTTGCCTCATCTTAATATCAGTTAAAATTATCCTCCATCATTTTCACTTAGTCCAGACTCTTCCATAATCTTCTCATTCCATTGTCTCATCCTTTTCTTTGCTTCCTCAGATCCTTTCTTCCATTTTTAAATGCTCAATAATCCTTTCTGTTTATCATCGTCAAGTCATTCTGTCTCTTCCATTCATTCCCTTCCAGTTAGTTCACCTTCCCCCATGATCATTTCTGATATATTAGAAGTCTAAACTGAATCATCGTTTATTTCTAGCAACAGAACCCATCCAACGATGGTGTACAAGGATTTAGTGTGTCACCTTCAGGAAAAGACCGACCAGGTAAAGATACTGATGAAAGTTTAGAGGTAATCCGGAAGTTATTTGCTAATATTTTAACATTTTTTTTCAGGTTTTAACAATCCTAGTAGCTACCGTCCTTCACAAGGAGCCGGGTATACGAAACGTGATGGTCACGGTGGTAATCCTGGGAACAGGTCACGTTACCATTAGATACACGAGAGAGAGTTCTGACTTCTGAACTTCTGGATGGTTAAGCCCCAATCACACACAAGAGAATTCAATTCAAGTCATTGAAAAATATATCAAATAGCAAAAAAACGTTTAAAAATCTTTTTATTCTACAGAAAAATTGAAAGAACTATTTAAAACTTGTGTACTTCAAAGCCAATGGTAAAGATATCCAACTTAGGCAATTCCTAAGACCAAACTTGCCAGAATCTTAAAAACTAAGTTTTTAAAATGCATATGGCTATCGCGTGAATATTGAAAACAAATTATTACCTACACTCTACAGTATGTATTTCGTTGCGATAATTGTATTAGTTTTATTCTAAAATTTATACTGACCCACTGCCTAATAAAAAGGTAAAATTAAGTGCTAAATTAAACTACAGCTGTGGTAAAACTCCGGAGAAACTATATCAAAGTGCATTTATTAAGCAGTTTGTTCAAATCCTGAATCATATCCCGAAGAAGATGAGTCAAAATATATCTGCCTAATTTTTGCAAAATTCTTTATCGAGATTGGACTATTGACGGCCGACGCGACAACACTGCTAACATCACCATCATATAGTCATTTCTCATCATCACTTGTTGTTGTAGAATCCGAAACGACCTTTTTGTCTGCCTTCTTCTTCCCTGACCTCTCCTTGGATTTCGTCGAGGTAGCTTTACCCGGGGGTGGGTCTGTAGTACCACCGCACTTTCCTCCTCCGTCCTTTTCTCCGCCACCAAGTTTCCTCAACTGTTCTCGGAGGATTTTAATCTTTGCCAGCCGGCTTTTGTTTTTCAAAATAAGCTCGTCATTTTCGGCTGCTTTCTCGTCAATCTTCTTCTCGTGACGGTAGACCTCGTTCAACAAATCATCGCAAAGGTCATCCCTCCGTTCCAAATCTTTACCAAGCGAACGTATTTCAATTTTCAACATGATGTTCGCGCACTTGAGGTCGTTCTCTGGGCTGAGAAGAAGCTCCTTGGATCTGATGTAGGATGCGATGTAGTAGGTTCCGACGAACAACGAGATCTGACGAACTATATTCTCGGGTTTGACCGTAGTCCGACCGGCCAGGGTTCCTCCGTATCTGTGCGCCAATTGTCGGTGAAAATGGTCCTCGAATAATTCCCGTGGTTCGTCTTCTGTCACTAATTCGTCTAAAAAAGCACAAAAAGATATGAAACAAGTTTTAAACCGTAATAAGTGCCCTCTGAATTGTATCACATTTGACCATGTTGTGAACTAACTAGAGGCTATTTGTTGCATTTTCTTGTACCTTCAGAGAGTGTCTCTTAGCGTAAAGATTTTGCTATCGAACCATCCATCTCTACAAGTGGAAATCTAGCCTACCTGACCCACACGAAAAGCAGTTTAAGATAGACAGTATAAACAGCCAAACAAACTGCTACAAATGATACAGCATTTAGGAATGACGCACACCTGTTGAAATATCTATACGACAGCCGCTTAAAACGGTCTTTTATTGCAAGATATCGCCTAGACAAACTATGGTACTTACGGTAGTATTCCTCCCATTTATCATCGTCATTTATCAGATCATACAAAGTCGGTTCATCTCTGAAATAAACTTCAAGGAATCTTTTTCTTAACTCGTCTCTTTCGCCCTCGATGACCTCAACAAACGAGAAATCGCATTCGACCGTGGCTACTTTGAAGATATTGCCGTGTAAATCCATGTTTTTGCTACAAGAATGATGGCTAAACGATGGAACGAGCTGTGATGTTCTGGTTCGATGCAAAGACTGTGTTGAACGACTCTGAAATGCAGGCTATTTCCACATTTTGCGACGCCAAAACAAAGCAGGTGGAAACAAAACAACGCGACCATGATTTTGTTTTCGGCTTTTTTCTTGAGGTTTTTATGAAACATGCGGCATTCCCTTCCTGTCGGCTTTTATATTGAGGTTCCGCGCGAAATATAACAGCTTTTGCATCAAGATGGTCGGTCTTCATGTTGAGGTTGTCAGGTTAGCTAGCGGACTATCTCAGAGGACTGCTTCTTGTAGAAAAAGAAGCTGGTGATGGTATAGACTATAGATAGCTGATAGGAAACCTTTAGTGCCAAGTGATCCCTTGTAAGAAAAAGGAAGTATTGGGTAACAAGAGGTGAATAAGTTGATTTAAGAGATGCGATGGAAAGACTTTGGGAGCTTGTTAGGGAAAGGTGAACTTAATGGAAAGCGGTTCGACGTCTGAATAAAAATACCATAAAATCTGCGGTTTTTCCGATTACAGTTTGCCGGGAAGTGCGACATTGTTGAATGTTTGCCTGCTTTGTATGTACCGCAAAACCGATTCAAGCTGTTAATCAATTAAGATCGGATACAAACTAACAAGTCAAAAAGCGAGCCGCTTTATTGATTACAAAACATTTATTTATTTATACGTTCATATGCTGCACACAAAATGAAGAACTTTAATGAAGAAGTTTATTTTGAAGACCTAAAATTGTGGAAAACGTTGAAGAAATGAGTCAGTGCTTTAATTCTTAAGATTTGTCCTTAAATGCAGAGTTCTTTTCATTGGATAATAATATTTTATGAAGTTCATTTCAGTGAAGTTTTTCTTGTGAGTTTTAATCTTCGGAAATTTTAGTAAATCCTCGACTGGCCCCAGACTTCCCAGCGCCAGCCTTCTTGCCCAAATCTTCGTCTTTTTTGTCGCCTTTTCGCTTTGGTGGAATTTTCTTAACTTTCTTCTGTCTCGCCTCTTTTTGCGGTTCAACACCAAACTCTTTCAGAAGTCGAAACTCGAGCAATTCAATTTCTGCCTTCCTAGCTTTGCCTTTGAGAAGTAGCCTGTAAATAAATGACGTAGATCAGTGGTGATCTGGGGCCGGTTGTATCAAGCCTGTTTATAGCTTAAACGGTGGATAAGTTCAAAATAGAAAGCAAGTCTATCGTTTTATTCAACAAGCAAACTAAATGTTTTTAACCTTAATACAAAGATATTGTTTACAACTACATATTCAGTGCTGACAGTGCATAATATTCAAGTTGACTCATTCAAGAGAGATGTAAGAGTGTTATTTAATTTTGACTTATCCACCGTTTAAGCTATTGATAAATAGGCTTGATACAACCGGCCCCTGCCTGGAGTTCATTCAGTTGTGGAGTACAAACGACAAGCGAGCGAGGATGTCATTTCTTGTGAATTATTATAGCCAGACTAATGATGGTTAAGTGATGGGAACTGTAAAAACTATGACCAACAGATGCACTCAGTACTATCCCTTTATGAATTGAGAATCTAGCATAAACAACTGAATTGATTTTCCTGTCAAATTTATCCTCCTAAAGCCAGGCTATCAGGAAAAAAGATGTCGATTAAACCAACCTCTCATTTTCTTCTCTCTCGCGCTCCACATTTCTTTCAAAACGTTGTATTTCATTGAACATATCATCATTAAGATCATCGTTCCATTCCAGATCTTCCTGCAACATCATCATCTCCATCTTAAGAGCCTTGTTATAAAACTTCAGTCGCTGAAGATTGGTCAAATTATAATCTGGAGAACGTTTGAGGTAGTACGAGATATTCTTGACTCCGAGTTCCATCGCGACGCGATTTCCAATTCGAGGAGGAAATTTCTCGCCGTACTCGTAAAGAACTCCAATAAAACGGACCACGTAACGACGACGGCAATGCAAAGCATACTCGTCTCGGAATCCTTCGCTGTCCAGAACCTCAGCTTAAAGAAAAAAATGATTTAAAACGATTAGTGTCTTCTCATAATCAACCGAGGTACTTTGACAGTATTGAAAATGCGTGTTTGTATATTCAGAGTTCAAATTTGTACCGAGGTATCCGGTTATTTTTATGCAAAAAGCGAGTTCTGGTCAATGAAGCTCGACGAATTTTAACAGCTTTAAATAAATATGGTTTGACAGGTGCTAGGATAGGAAATCCAGCAAGCTTGCAAACGAGGTAAAAAACTTTCAAATGAGCTCACCATAAATCCGGTCATATGCATCATCATCTTCAATAATCTTTACAAAATCTGGCTCGTCTTTGAAGTAGACCCAGATTAACTGGTAGCGCAAATCATCCTTCACGTTTCTAAACGCCTCTTCATAATCCACATCCTGGATTCCCTTCATTCTGTCCGTGTAGGAAGCCATTTGAAAAGGCGAAAGATGAGAGTCGAGTTGTCTTCACTTCTTGCTTATATTCGAAGCTAATAAAAGATGCCAAACTAGACGCATTCGTCAGTGTATTCCCGCTTTAACCTGCTTTGTTTTTCCAAAGCAACTTGCCTGCGACGCGCAACAGGTACTTGGCATATCAAGGTATATTAGCCGACCAGGTATTTGCTCAAAAACAACGAGAAAAACAATATGCGACTCCAACAGCTTTTATAGACACGATTTATGTTCAAAAAGTTTTTAATATGAATGAATGATTAACGCCTTTATGCATTCTTTCTAAGCTTTGAGCAGAAATGCTTAACACGAGTATTTCGGGCTAAAAACTCAGCTCAGACTTTTTTTTCTGGCAAGTGTGGGCATGTTTATCTTATGACATCGTTCCAGTTTACTCAGAGTTCAGTTGTATTGTCTATGATATTGTCACGTGATATTTTCCCGCCAAAGCACAAAATATTTTCATATTTCTTCAAGTACGAGAAAAACAAGTGTTTTTCTTAGTTTTTCTGCAATTTTCCCTCTTTTTCTTCTTGTTTAATGGACTGAAACTATACTTTACATAACGTATAAAGCTTTCGGCGTTAGTGGCGGATGTCATGAGGCTGTTGAGATGTGCAAGGGCAAAAGAAAACAGTGAAGACTGACGTTGCCTTGTGATATCACCTTGGTAAAGTTTGTTTACATGATTTAAAGGGCGATGGAAAGTGAAATGGAGGCAGCGATTCATGAAATAGACACAGGAAGTCTGCATTCAGATGGCAGAGAGAAAGCCTTGAATACAAAAGACGAAATTTCAAAGGGAAACTGCTCGGGAAACGGTGCAAAGTTGACTTCATCACAAACAGTGGAAGCCCCAGGCCAAATTGTACCCTCCCAGGAAAGCGAAACGAATGGTTCCCAAACAGACGAAAGCCGAAACGTTGGACATTCGGGTGTATTTATTGTACCTCAAGCGAGTTTGGAACAGACAGGTCATGCAGAAGAACCCAAGCTTGCCTCAAAGGAAAGCGTAGTTAATAAAGCAGGGTGTACGCCATCTTTGACTTCATCTTGGGGCATACGGTGTGAAACTGACAAGCAAGGTAAGCTAGCGAAAAACAATGTCTTGTTCGGGGTTTTATATTGTCAAAGAAAATAGAGCTTAGAGAAGCTCTATAGACTATACTATTATTCCATTTGGACAATTTTCTAGCAGAATTCTTCAATGGGAAAACATTCGTCTGGCCAGCTATTGGGTTCAAGGATCAAATTACTAAACAAACTCTGCAAAATGAGCGAGGTAATAATCTAGGTGTTATATTTGAGTAAAATTATACAAGCTTGGCATACTCAAGAGAGGGTAGATGGCCTTCATATGATGCCTACTGGTGTCCAAATCTGGTATACTATTAGGAGATATAGTGAAGCCCGTACTAGGAAGTGTCCATGTATCTTGGACTCCTTGATTTCATGAACCTACCGTTTCAGTTTTAGATATGTTTGCACAAGTTTTGCAATCGACGGCGAAAGGGAACGACGTGGAGGAATCCACGAAGAAAAAACAAACTCCCTTGATCACCAGTGTGTCATCTGATTTCGTTGGTCAATCTGAGAAATCAGTCACTGTCCAAGAAAACAAGGAATCAATATCAGTCCTAAAGAAAGTTGGAAAGAAAGCAAAGAAAACTGTTCATTTCCCAGAAAATGTTGTTTCTGTGAAATTCTACGATATCAGTGACGATGATGAGAGCGATGATGACACGTTAATACTTTCAGATCATGAGGAAGATGATTTGCAAGACCAGGAAGTCCCTTTTAACACCTATGATGACTACACGACCCATCACCTAAGCTCATTCACCACCAATTTTACCCCCCACTTTTCATTTCCCCCCGCTCTGGATGTGTCCAATCTTAACAGGTGTGACAACCTTGATGAAGATCAGCAACGACAAGATCAGCAACTTACGGCGATTATGAATGACGATGACGGACGACAAAGCGGTGATCCAGCAATACACGAAGATGAAGATAACCTCAGCTATATACAAAACACTGAGAGATTTCAAGGAGAGCTACTTGTTTCTGCGGAGGCGAATGTCATGTCTGAAATACTGAATCCAGAACCAACTCCTGATGATACCAGTCTGGGTGATTCTGTGAATCCCATAGACGAGAAATGGCCATCAGTGAATCCTACCGTGGGTGAATTTCAGGGCTTTGATACGTGCAGAGATGACCAACTAATTTCTACAGAAGCGAAGGAGGTACCTGGAAATAGCGATGTAGAAACGAATATAGAAGCAGTGATGACAAAGAGTGGAAGAGAAGATTTTGGAGTCTCGTGTGAGGTCATGGATGACCACTTAACCACTGTGAAAGATCTATCTAGATTGCCAGATGATGATGTGAAGAAAATGGAGGTAGAGACAACAAATTATGGAATGAGTGGAATCATTCAAGATGATTTGAATGTTAACTCTATTGGAAGTACGCATGATACTTCGAAAAATAATAGTTTGGCGGTGGAGCAAATGCTCCCCGTAGAAGTCAAAAGCCTTGTTGAAAACCCAGATGGAGGAAATGAGAGGGAACTACTTGGAGATGGTTTGGAATCGGATTACGATGAGAATATGAAGAAAACTACACAAAGTGAGAGTTTGATGGTTGAGGATATTACATCCAACGGGAAGACTGGAAATCGAGGTATTGAAAGTTCTGTAAGAACTGGGAAAACTCGATGACCTCCGTTGCTATGATGATGCAGAAGCATCAAGCAAGACTCCCTTCTGTGATATATACGCTGCTTGATGCTTGGAAGGAAACCCCTGAAGGATTTCATCCGGAGACGCGAAAGAATGCAATCTTGCTGGTGAACGTTTAGAGAAGAAGGCAACAAGTGCTTCGACATGGAAGACGGGAGAGACCGAAGCAGATTCAGAGACACGGGAAGCTTCAGGAAACATGGAAGATGACAGCATGGATATCACGCTGTCGTCGTCAAGATCTTCATCAAGAGCAGTCAGTCATGTCAGGTGTGGAAGCAGGATAATGTGGCGTAGAACAAGAATGATAAACAGTATGATCCTTAACGAGGTGGGTGTTTTCAAAAAGATGAACTACACTAGTAATAACTGGTTTAGTTTTCATTATAGGGTGGTTCACATCAGTCACAACAAATTGGCCTCTGACAGTTTTAACTTTTAATATAAGAATGTATTTTCTTATTTCAAACTTTAGGATATTCAAGTGACTCCAATAGCAACTAAAGAGAGCGCCATTCTTCAAACACGCAGTTTCACAAGAGAGGAAATAACTTTTCCTAACATTGATATCGTTGATGTTCCATCTCTCGAGTCAAATATCCTCGCTCTTCCCCGCAACGATACGGCCTTAACGAAGCCCTGCCTTCACGACTGCAAACCAACAAAATACGTTATTCAATCGTTTATATCCTCCTTGGATCATTTCGTCGAGTTTGAGGAGGAATCCGCGTTAAAACAAGAGAAAGATATTCCGTTGAGGATCAATTCTGATTCTGGAAATTCTCAGTTACAAGATGGTCGTTTTAAGAACGAAATTGCTGTCAAGAAAAATGAGACAGGTATTATATTCCATAGCATTCTAAAGATGTAGGGTAACTTAGTGTCTTAGTCCTCTGAATAATAATCCTATTTTTTTCCTAAGAACAGATAAATACGTACAAAATACCCCTTTCGTTTGAATTTTTCGTTTTATTATCCTCATAGAATTTGATTGTCAAGATGAGACAAGCTCCATTCCTCCATCAATATCCAGAGATCTTACGGAGGGGAACGCACCAAAAAATACCAGCATTTCCCAAGTTGTCCCAGACATGCACCCCCCGGAACAGACCATGACCAGATCAAAGACGAACTCGTCGCACATCGTTCCATCACTAGCTGAGGACATAATGGACACTACTGACGAAGAATCACTACACGATTTCCCCTCACAAACCCACAAACCACTTGAACGAAAGGTAAATTAGCCTTTCTCACAATGACTATAATAATTTTGATTCTTCTATTGAACCGCATATTGGGAAAAGACTTCATCCCAAACTTGTTTTCACTAGCTGCGAATGTTATTATTACGTTTCTCACAGTGTGTCTCTGACGTTTTCCAGCCGTTTGAAGAAACTGGTGGATGTAACCAGCTGTCTAAATGTTCAACAATGAAAATGGAAATCAGAAGAGGTGAAAACATCGCAGACTCGGAACAAAGCTCTTGTAAGCAACAGACGTAAAAAATATTAAAAAATGGTCCAAGGTTGTACGAAAGCTTAGAAAGCGCTATCGTGCACACCGGTAGTGGGTTTTCCATCACTCTAGAAGTGCCTGTGTTTTTATACAGTTTTAATCAATCTTTCCTATTCTTGCTTTTTCGCAGGTTTACCTTCTTCACAAATACATCACGCGACAAAACAAACAAGAAAACTTAGAGTTGGTTTATCAAAATCTACCAGAGTAAAGTCTCTTCATCCGTATATTGGTCGGAAGATAAAATAAAAAACTCCCTCAAGATTCATTTATATCATATTGTCTTGGACTATTTCTAACGTATCAATAAATATAATTTATTTTAATTAAATTGTTTGAATGCTGAATAATCTATTATTATACATTGTTAATATTGATTGAAATACTGAAAGTTGTTTTAAAATATACCAAAGTTTGCATCATAAGGTTGTGTTCATTGTGACGAGTTTTTGAATTTGAATAAAAGATGTCAAGAGTCTATACTCATGGGTTGATGAAAATTTGTGAAATATTTACCGTTGAATACGTGCATATTAGTTCATATAACCGTTCATACGTTTTTTGAGTACCCCAAGGAAAAAACACGGTCTTTAGTCTCAAAAGCTGTCGGTCTAGTGGTGAAGGTAAAGTTCTCGCAAGTGGTAAGTTAATGGTTTGGAACAGGACAAGATGTTTTCATTATGACCAAACACAAGCGAAGTCCTCGGGAAAAATCGTCATCACCCGGAGCGGAGGGTCTATAAATGATAAATATCTACTCTTTGGACAAATGACGAATATCACGCAAAACAACACTTACCTGCAAGATGGCTCCCCTTGGGACATTTTTATTACTGAGATGGACATCTTTGATCTTTTATTTATGACTATGCAACTATGGTGAAATACCAGAGGAAAATGAGATGCAGCGTTAGACCTTTGTTCAACACTTCAGCTTTCCTCTCGAGATCGGAAATACATCAGATAAATCAAGTACTTTTGGAGGGTTTGTTTTTCAACCAATCATAATGAACCTGGAGGGTGTTGCAAGTTGGTTCAAAATTACAGCAGGATGTTGATCAAATGATCAAATCTTAACTTCTGGGAAAGAATCAAGTACTCTTACAGACAAGTCAGACATGGAAAATTGCTTAAAACTGATTCCTCGTAATTGTTACAATACCTACAGTTCAGTAGTTCTTGCTTTGTTTGTAGCAATTGGTGTTGTTCTAATTGGAATCGCGAGTGATTACGAGTCGAAATCAAGTCTGGAATGTGACCTCACGAGCTCTTTATTCAAGGGGAAGTACATTGAAACACAATGTCGTCTTCAATATGCCCAAGAATTCCTCCCTTCGTTATCTCTCAATGTCCAGATTGTGATAAGTTTTGGAGTTATCGTTGTGTTTACTGTCGTGTACGGTTACCTGGTGAAACATAGAGTCGACATCTTCGCAAACAATCCAAACACAACGACGAACGAGGGCGTAGAAGAAAGCCATCCACTACAGTCTGAAGCATCGTCAGCCACACCGGAAGTCTATCGAGGTAGTAATCGTTATTTTGTATTTATGGCTTACATAATCCATTTGATCGTTTGTCGTGTAATACCACTGACAGTGTTCTCAGCATTTCTCTTAACCTCATCCAATTTTCCGACCCATTTTGAATGTCCTTTGCCCAATATGAAAACAACAACTAGTACTTCCCATGAGAACGTCACACGGTCAACTACGCATTCTTCATTTGTGGACTGCACTTATTCAATGGCTGGGAAGAAACAACAAGTTGTTGTCGGTTTTATCACGATAAAATTTCTCGTCGATGCAGTGACACTCGTTGAGATTGTTTATCTGTTGTGGTCGGCATTGAAGAGACCAACTTTCCATACTGATCAGGAGTTCATTAGCTTGTACCTTTTACGAAAACGAACCAAAACAATCCTAGAAATAAACGAAATAATTCCATCAATCCAATCTGAAAATTTATTTTACCTGCTTGGAGACTTTGGAGGGAAACGTTTGTCACATAGAAAACTGGAGGAGATTTATATCAATGTTATGATTCAAGATGGAAGGGAAACAACCTATAATTCCAGGAGAAGATATGAAGATAGACATGAGATTTATGAAGCTCGTTTAGGAAAACTCCCTGATGCAAAACCCCTCCAGAGTACAGCAGAGTTATTTCAAGCAGCAAAAACTGGTAAGAAACAACCTAGAACTGTTCTTGTAGTGGGCAGACCTGGCATTGGGAAAACTCTACTGACAAGAAAAATATTTCACGAGTATCGAAAACACATAGAAAGATTCTGGCATGAAAGAATTGTACTATTGATTCAATTACGTGATTTTAACAAGGGAGAAACAAGTCTTAAAGAAATATTAAGTCAGGCTCATGGTTCTGTTATGCCAGCTGATTGCAACATGACCATCTACGAATATATTTGCAGGAACCCAAGTAAAGTGATTCTTGTTTTTGATGGCTTAGATGAACTTAAAGTTGACGAGAATTGTTTAACTGATGAGAAGATCATAAACAGTCCAGACAAAGTGTGTCATATGTTCCTTATCCTTAAACAGCTGGTGGAAGGCAAACTATTGCCTGGAGCTACTGTGTTGATCACATGTCGACCTACAGCAAACAATATTTATCAGTGTCTAAGGTTTGATCGTGAAGTGGAGATACTGGGTTTTAGTGAGGAACAAATAGAAAAGTATGTTAAAATGTTTTGCCATGATGACACAAGAAGTTCAGAGATGTGGCAACTGGCAAGTAATCAAGAGTTCGCCAGAACTATTAAGCTTCTGTTACATACCAGTCAATTCCTATATAGTGTGCTTGACATTATATGAGAGCATTGATTTTGGTCAACATGTGAAGGATGAAAGCTACAACAAGATTCCTAAAACAATGACTGAACTGTACAAAAGAGCTATAAGGATTTTGCTGTTCAAACACAGTTCAAAATACAGGAATGAACAACCCTCAAAGGATTACTTGACTGCAGAACTTCCACAGCTGCTTCAAGAAGACCTTGACAGGTTGAAAGGAATTGCAAGGAATGGAATGAAAAAAGATCAGTTAGTTTTTGAGTTTAAAAGCAGCGATGAATCTGTGGCTGGCTTATCAGATTCTGGTGTATTCAATCAGTTGGAAGACAAAAGTCATCATATTTTCTCTTTTCTTCATCTTACAATTCAAGAGTTTCTAGCTGCACTACATGTGGTTGATGATATTCAAAATATTGAATCATTTTTGGAAAGGCACCTGAACATTCCCAGGTGGCATTTGGTGATTCAGTTTGTAGCTGGGTTACTTGGAGATAGAATTAAAGAGTTAAGGTATGCCTTCTTCAAAGTAGATAAAGTAATAAAATACCCAGTTTTATTTTTTTTCTTGCGGTCCGAATTCATATTTTAGCGTTTCCTGCAAACTGATTGGCTACAAGAGCGGTGCGTATGAGGCCGTATGGACCAGGCGAGATTTAAAAGCACAGAGCCAACACTAACATATGAATTAAGACCGCAAGAAAAAAAGTTATTATTTACCAGTTTAGTCGGTCCCTCAGCATTCGGCCTCAGGCTGTTTTTGCAACCTTGGGAAATATTCCCCTATACGGACCTCCATCTGGTAAATAACATATATAATATTGCATAGTCACAACTCAATTTGTTAACCATATGTATGTGAGGGAATCTTCTCATATTATCTATTCATTGTTGTATGCATGAGTAACATATTGATATTCTTAAGTGGCTTTAGTGACATAGATACTTGACCTAGACAATGCAAACTTTTATGTGTATTTGGGAAATACTGCTTATGAGTAAAATACAGAACTTGAACTTTCCAATTTTTTGTGAGAAAAAAAAGCATATATCTTTTTGTGTTTGTACTAAATGACTAAATCACATTTTTTTATCAGCTCACCAGAGCATGAAGACAGTGAACTGATTGAAAGTATATGTAAAAGGTAAGAGTTTGCCGCAATTTATAGGCATATTAGAGCAAGGGGCCTATAAAATATTTCTGTGTGATACTGATGCATGCATGTTGCTAGTTGGCATCAATTAAGCTCAACAAAAATTGCCAACAGCTTCCTTACCTAGCATTAGCAAAATTGGGGATTTTCCAAGGTTGGTAAAACCTCTGCTGTTGGATGTAAATAATTCTGATTAGCCAATTCTGTGAAAGGTTGTTGCTGTACTTATTTTTTATTCACACAATTATTAACATAATTATAACTGTTATACTACCATTTGCGTTCAAGTGTTGAGTGCGAGAAATTTTTCACGATGTTTCCGTTCTGAAACGTTACGTTTCCTTGTGAATTACTTCACGTTTTCGGCGCGAAATGTACAACTTTGTAGGAAATACGTCAACGTTTGCCACACGTCAATTTCGACAAGCCTTCGTTGCTCAAACCGCTCCAAGGATCAAAAAACTGGAATTACGATTCACGAAATATATATGTATATATATACATACATAATGCAGATTAATCGCGAAGGTCGGTCGTTTAAGCGGGGCGTCGCACTTTCTTGCGACATGAAAGCATTGATAATTGACGAAATGTTCCATCACGGTGCAGACAGAACAACCCAATTCGTTCCTATGGGCACATTCACTGCAGTTTCCCACACCGTGAGAGTGTCTTCAACCACCGTAAAGAAAGTATGGACGCAGTATTGTGCTAATTGTGTATTAGAATGCGATGCAAAACCTGGAGGGAATCGAGGCTCAAAATTAACGTCGGACGATTTAGAGCTTATCGAAGTAATGAAACAGTTGAAAGGGTCTGTTTCCCTTCGCGAAGTTCAATCAACTGTAGAAGAAATGGGAAATATTCAAGGTGATATTTCAATCTCAGCTATATCGAGGGCACTTAAATCACGGATGAAATCTGGGAAGATATACACTCGAAAAAAAATAACCCATGTAGCATCACAGCGGTTTGATTATGGGCAACTTACTATATACACAGATTTTTATGGACTACTTAAGGTCAAAGAATCCAAACTGCTTGAAATTTTTTGATGAAGCTGGTGTCAAATATCCAAATGTCGGCATGCGTCTATATGGCCATGCTCCGAAAGGTGAGCGGTGTGTGGAAGTCGTCAAGAAATGCGAAGATCCTAATGCAACTATTAACCTAATAGCTTCACTTAATGGTCCGGAATACTATGATGTGATTGATGGCGCCACCAATACCTTCCAATTTTTAGATTTCTTCGAAAAGGCGTCGAATGCTGTCAACCTGGAAACTATGCGCCCGGCTCTGGATATTGGCGATGTTTTGGTGATGGATAATCTATCAGTTCACCACTACGATAGTGGCGAAGTTCTAGAGGAGTACTTGAATGAGATGGGAATAGAATTAGTATACACGCCGGTTTTTTCACCAGATCTTAATCCCGTTGAACATTGTTTCAATAAAATGAAAACTGTTATGAACCATGAACTAATAAACGTAACTGTTGCAAATCCGAAATTATCCGCCATGCTTGCCATTCAAAAGATCACTCGATCAGATATGATGAACTTTTTTAAAAATACTTCTTATTTATTTCCTTAGTTGTAAGTCAGAATATAGACTAAGACATTTTATATTGCATACTACAAAAATGGATTGATCGCATACAATTTTTGTGTTATCTTAATTCTTACAATGTGTTAACAGTATTATTAGTGGTACGTGATATTGCTTGAATATTTGCTCTATTGTATGCGCATTATATTGTTATACGGTTTTCCATTCGAATTCAAATTTATCTACTGTAATTTGATTCCCTAATCCCTACTTTTCTCTACTTTTTTTCGGTTTGAAATATTTCTTATCCAACACATATGTAATCTCTTTATTTATAGCCCCTCTGTATATTTCCCAACATTAAAGTAAACAAGAACATGTCACTGCCTTAATTAAAAGTGATAGTATATCTGTATGTTCAGAGTATATTTGCTTATATTACAGTCAGCAAGGGCAAACCGTGTAACATTAGGCTAGGTTGGCTAGGTGTTGATTTGGTAGACTCTCGTTGAAGACTGACATTTACTAGAAAACAACCCAAACAGGCCCCATCACTGCACAATACATAAAAGTGATGAAACGTATAAACATTGTGTTTGTTTGCTTTATACAAATATGAAATAGTACAGTAAACCAATAAAATGTAACACAATACCCGTCAATATATTCAGAAGGGAAAATTTTCATACAAGGAATATGACCACATTGAAAATAATTCTGGCTCACATTAGTGCATGGTCTGATTTCCGTGTCAGAAAATTTATCCTTGTGATTTTCTACATAGGTACAACAGCTTAGTAGAGGAATGTTGTTTTTCGCAAAAGTTCATGTTACTGCTTTCATCTTCATTAAAATGTCAAGTATATTAATAGTAATTTTAATATAACAATTCGTTCAAGTTATTTAAATAATTGTATTGTATAAAACATGCAATGAAAAAATATCAATCGACAAAAATGCTAATTATAACAATGCTGAACTGACAGAATTACTCACGCCTATTTTTAATCTTGTTGCATATCGCGTAGTGATAGAAGTGCGTTTGCTGCATCACTTACGCTCCGTACAGGATTAGAAAGAATTGATTCGACAGAATGACTGGGCGTAAAACTGGAATTACCAGCTGTTGAAGCAGAACTTGAAGCTGTCACAGTCCATGGAAATGGTCTTGAAGCATGATCGGCGCTTGAGGTATTTGATTTCATACCATGGGAATCAACACTTTTTGCTGGGATATTTTCTGTGTATAAACTAGCATGCATAGCAATTTTAAGCTGTTCATCTTCCTCCGTTAGATTTGCTGGCTTGATTCGATCAATCCATGAGCAAGTTCCTTTATTGTTACTGTCGTCAATGCAAATGACATTGTTTTCTGAGCTATCTCTGGCAGGACTCCACGCCCCAACGCGATCAAATGTTTGTTCATATGCATCGTCGTCGTCGTATTCATTTGGGCGAGTTGGAAATTGGATCCCATATCGTTCCAGTGTAGGTTTTGCTGGATTTTGTCGATGACGTTTACTTTGTTTGATTGGTACAGCTGCCCCTGTACAATCATTAGATGCAAGAGCAGTTTGAAGACAATTTAAAATGTCATGTTTTGGTGGAATACGGCCATGTAAAGTGGTTTCACAATACCTTTTCAAAGCGAAAACATGGCTTCTCAGAAGACTCCAATTCTTAACTCCTCGGACATGATATGACGCAGGATCGACATCGATTAAAGAGTTCTCCAGCTTGTTCAAGACGGAGTCACGTACATTTTCGGCTGCAGATTTCTTAAAACTCAGTTCCTCCGTCAGTTTCTCTTTTTCTTTCCTTAATTTTTTTACGTCCTGTGTTATTGCTTTTATATTAATCTCACCAGGATGAAATTTTTCCTCTCCGCACTCGTAAACTGAGGAACATTGATCAAACGTACAATTTCGGGCATTATGACCAAGCCGCATATGGCAATGACGACAGAGTGTGCCACGTCCGGCATTACTTTCTTTTGCTGCTTGAATTCTTTCTTTGATTTTTCTCTCTTTGCCCATTACATCTTGCAACTTTTCATTTGTTTCGTTGATCATTTTCTCTGTTTTGGCTAGTATCGTTCGACTGGGGTAAGGCATTTTTTTTCGTCCTGTTCAACGTGGGCCGCAGGGATTTATTACAATGCTTTGAACTAAGTTTTGAGCTCACTGACACTGGCACTGAATGACTGGATTTCGAATTCCTGGACTCAAAGTCTAGTCGACGTTTACGTGTTGTTTGAGCATCATCATTAGCTTGAGGAAAGGAGCTCCCGATATATTCCGTCTTCACCGATGAACTTCTAGGTTTACCGGACGGTGTAATCTCATAGTGTATTCGAACACACATTCTGAAGATCCCATCAGAATTCGGTACTGCTGTTAAACATCGCATTGCATCTTGAAGGTCGGATTCATCTTTCATGGTTACGTAGGTATTTTCATCATCTCTATATTGTATTCTCGCATTTTGAATGTCAACGCCTTCCATAAATTCACCTACTGTCTCCGTAATCATTTGTTTGAATTGGTATAAATTTAAGCAACTCAAACTATGTTTTTCGATTGAATGCACCTTGCATCTAGAAAAGTTTTCTCCATACAGAATTTTTACACGGATTGACATAGTTAAATGCAGTATCAAAATTGTAATATAATAAAAAGTGTTAACAAAACGTGCGCAGTTGTTTGAGCAACGAAGGCTTGTCGAAATTGACGTGTGGCAAACGTTGACGTATTTCCTACAAAGTTGTACATTTCGCGCCGAAAACGTGAAGTAATTCACAAGGAAACGTAACGTTTCAGAACGGAAACATCGTGAAAAATTTCTCGCACTCAACACTTGAACGCAAATGGTAGTAAGATGTTTAAATGAAATTATAACTTTTGATGACTTTGATTGATTCCAGTGCAGTTTCCTAGTCAATAGTTTTGCATGCTGTACAATGAAATATTCATTATAGGACAAGCACGTGTCAGTTGAGGTGGTTTGAAGCGATATGATTGGCTAATCAGTGATTCACGTGACACTCGGCTGCGGCTCATTTTTCCCTGACATTTTTCATGACCCGCGAAGATGAGGAGAAAACTGAGTTGAAAACAAACAAAAAAACCTTTAAAAACTATTCAAGATTATTAAAAAGAAAGACGGGAAAGCTGAAGTTACTTGAATGGATATATTTAAAACATTTAAGCGACGTTTTGTTGCCGTAATTCTATAATATGAGGTAATATTTTACTACGAATTTACAAAATAGTTTTTGTTTCGTACATGCGAAGTCGAAAACCTTCAATTTTTGGCAGCTGGAAAAAACGGGGGAAAAAACATTTCAACGTCGTTCTGAAGAAAAAAAGCAACAAAAAAATTTATAAGTTTTGTAAGAAAGTCATATTTTTGGAGTTTTTTTTGTACAAAAAACAAAATCACTTGTCTGTGTAGTTGTCGTTTTCACGCTGTGAATTAATTTTCTCTGATAAAATGGCCATTTAATACTACGAAGTTCTCTTCAGTGAAATATAATCCTAAACTTCTGAAATTTTCTCTTAAAATGTCTTAATCTAGATTTCAAAACTGGATGCCAAAGAAACGATATATTGACTACAGTAATGACAAAGGTTTACTCGTGATAAAAAGTGTTTGGGAAATGCAAGAAGATCGCGTCATGAAAATGATTTCGTCGTTTACGTCTGAGGATGATCATGAAACATTTACTTTGAGCTACATAAATATTGCACCAGCAGAATCTACGGCTTTGTTCAAATTTTTAAGCCACATCAAGAACTTGAAAAAGCTTGAAATCAATCGTTGTACTGTGACGAACATTACTATCCGTGAATTGGCTGAGTTTTTGAAGAAAGATAACCATGACCTGGAGAATGACAACTGTGAACTTACTGAACTATATGTAAGTAACAATAGTGGTTTAACAACTGAAGGTGTTAAATATTTAAGTGATGCTTTGAAGAATGACAACTGTAAACTTACTAAACTAGATGTAAGTCACAATAGTGGTTTAACAACTGAAGGTGTTAAATATTTAAGTGATGCTTTAAAGAATGACAACTGTAAACTTACTGAACTAAATGTAAGATACAATGATTTAAAAACTGAAGGTGCTAAATATTTAAGTGATGCTTTGAAGAATGACAACTGTAAACTTACTAAACTAAATGTAAGATACAATGATTTAAAAACTGAAGGTGTTAAATATTTAAGTGATGCTTTGAAGAATGACAACTGTAAACTTACTAAACTAAATGTAAGTGACAATGATTTAAAAACTGAAGGTGCTAAATATTTAAGTGATGCTTTGAAGAATGACAACTGTAAACTTACTGAACTAGATGTAAATGGCAATGATTTAAGAACTGAAGGTGCTAAATATTTAAGTGATGCTTTAAAGAATGACAACTGTAAACTTACTGAACTAAATGTAAGTGGCAATGATTTAAAAACTAAAGGTGTTAAATATTTAAGAGATGCTTTGAAGAATGACAACTGTAAACTTACTAAACTAAATGTAAATGACAATGATTTAAAAAGTGAAGTTGCTAAATATTTAAGTGATGCTTTGAAGAATGACAACTGTAAACTTACTGAACTAGATGTAAATGGCAATGATTTAAAAACTGAAGGTGTTAAATATTTAAGTGATGCTTTAAAGAATGACAACTGTAAACTTACTGAACTAAATGTAAGTGACAATGATTTAAAAACTGAAGGTGTTAAATATTTAAGTGATGCTTTAAAGAATGACAACTGTAAACTTACTGAACTAAATGTAAGATACAATGATTTAAAAACTGAAGGTGCTAAATATTTAAGTGATGCTTTGAAGAATGACAACTGTAAACTTACTAAACTAAATGTAAGATACAATGATTTAAAAACTGAAGGTGTTAAATATTTAAGTGATGCTTTGAAGAATGACAACTGTAAACTTACTAAACTAAATGTAAGTGACAATGATTTAAAAACTGAAGGTGCTAAATATTTAAGTGATGCTTTGAAGAATGACAACTGTAAACTTACTGAACTAGATGTAAATGGCAATGATTTAAGAACTGAAGGTGCTAAATATTTAAGTGATGCTTTAAAGAATGACAACTGTAAACTTACTGAACTAAATGTAAGTGGCAATGATTTAAAAACTAAAGGTGTTAAATATTTAAGAGATGCTTTGAAGAATGACAACTGTAAACTTACTAAACTAAATGTAAATGACAATGATTTAAAAAGTGAAGTTGCTAAATATTTAAGTGATGCTTTGAAGAATGACAACTGTAAACTTACTGAACTAGATGTAAATGGCAATGATTTAAAAACTGAAGGTGTTAAATATTTAAGTGATGCTTTGAAGAATGACAACTGTAAACTTACTAAACTATATGTAAGTCACAATGATTTAAAAAGTGAAGGTGCTAAATATTTAAGTGATGCTTTGAAGAATGACAACTGTAAACTTACTGAACTAAATGTAAGTCGCAATGATTTAAAAAGTGAAGGTGCTAAATATTTAAGTGATGCTTTGAAGAATGACAACTGTAAACTTACTGAACTATATGTAAGTGGCAATGATTTAAAAACTGAAGGTGTTAAATATTTAAGTGATGCTTTGGAGAGTGACAAATGTAAACTTACTAAACTAAATGTAAGTTGCAATGATTTAAAAACTGAAGCTGTTAAATATTTAAGTGATGCTTTGAAGAGTGACAACTGTAAACTTACTGTACTAGTTGTAGGTGGCAATGATTTAACAACTGAAGATATTGAATATTTAAGTGATGCTAAGAGTGACAACTGCAAACTGTTTTAGTAAATGTAAAGTTGTATAAAGGCTGCAATCCTGTAAAACGTATCAAATGTTTTTCCTAAGCTGTATATTACAGGCAAATCATATTATTATTTTTCTACACGACACATTGGTTATTTTACTCTCATAGTTTTTTATACGAGCAAATGTTATTTGAAATGTTTTTTGTGAAATATATTTTGCCTGTGTTGATGAGAAGTTTATGAGAAATTTATGTTGGAATTTTTTTACCAATAAATTTAATAAATCAGTTTGCATTGCCATTGTTTAAAAAGTCATAGTATTCTTGATTGTATATATGATTGTAATTCTAATAATTTGTATTTTGTAGTTTAAATAATTTGTAAGATAGATTTCTTTAAATAAACGCACTGAACAAAATGTAGTATGATTTTTGGCACTTCACTCAATGCAGGTCCATTCTAGAGGTTTAATTTCGAGTGGAATTATTTATACACACTTCAAATTCAAGCCAGGAACAGTTGATGGAAAAATGAGTCAACTATAGGTCCTCCGACAGGAATCGAACCAGGGCGTAGTAAAACACGCCCGTGTTTTACTACGCCCTGAATCGAACCTACGCTTTTGCGATGCCGGTGCAATGCTCTTGCCATTGAGCTACAGAGGTAGCTAACAAGAGCAAGCGAAGTTAATGTGTATATGATGGTAATGCCGGGAATAGGTGAGGGGTAAATCCAGTATGATTTTTGGATTTTTGGCACTTCACTGGATGCAGGTCGTGTATAATTCCACTCGTAATTAAAACCCATAAACCTCTAGAATAAACTCATTGAACAGTGGTATGTTTAACGGCATGCAAGCATTGTGTAATAGTATTAAGAATAAACTTTATACAGCTAATTTTAATCCTTTGTGTTGCGATCCACCTCGACCAAAGACCTTCCGATATAAACACAGGATAAATTTCGTCTCAGGAAAGAAACTTTAAGCTGCTGAGCTGATATTCAAGTGTGAGATCACTTTGACTGTTTGAGTCAGTTTGACAGCAAAGAAACACATGATATTGTCTGGGAGATTTATTACAGGATTGCCAGGATCTTGTTATATACTTATTTCAATTTTCAATACCTCAAAGCAATCTTGCGCTTCGTTAACCAGGATCATGTAAACAGCCCCTAGCCTAGGCTAAAATAAACTTTTTACTACTAATATTAATGCTTTGTCTTAGCGATCCACCTCGTCCGAAGATCTTCCTATTATAAAAAGGGGATGAATTTCGTCTGAGGAAAGCAAGCTAGCTTGGGTACCAGGTCTGGATCATCTTCATACAAACCAACCCATGAGACATGCATTGTCGTTGTTGCAAAGAAATTTGCCATCAGTATCAAAAAAAATGTTTTAAACAATTGTCCAGCTCATGCATGTGAAAATCTTAACAACTTGAAGTCCTCTAATTCAAAATATGTCGTACAGGAATGGCTTGCCTACAATATATTTCCGCGTTTAAATTTTACAGCTTTCAGTTCAGTTCATATTTCGCTTGCAGTTTTGCGCAATCAAGCCATTCATATATTTAAAGCATTGTAACAGAAAAACAGAATTCATTTTTCTGGAGAGAAAAACTTTGATAGATCATTTGAAGTGAGTGTTTGCAGCGCTGCGTCATCGCATTTTCTAAACTCACTGCTCTTCCTGTTTAGCGCAGGAAGCTCGTGTACCATTCTTTCATGAACTGTAGATACCAAATATGCAGACAAAGAATGAACATTGAATGAAGCCTGCCCGCAAGAGAGAGAGAACTTAACCTATGAAGACTTTAGGCAATGGTAATATTCAAGAAATCTGTATATTAGGTGTTTAAAGGACATGAAAATAATAGCACACGAGCAAGGGCCCTGAAAAGGAATGTCCCTGAGTGTGCGGTAGTTGATCACCAGGTTTTGACCGAGGTTGTGTACCCAGAACTTACATGCACATACCACACACAACATTAGTCCTGGGTACCAAATTAACCATTGCCTGAACTCAGGCTAACAAGAAAAATGTATACCTGGGGTGACCCCTCTTTCATCCGCCTGCATGGCGTCGCTTTATATCCATAAACGATCCTTTGTGACGGTGCTTGATACAACGAGTACCACCAGGTCCAGGGACCCCTTCGAATGAAAATGTTCATTTCGTTTTCCAGAAATACCGTGTTTGATATCATGCAGTACTATTGTGGCAAGTCCTCAAGCGCAACAACCTCCTTCGACCGATGAGGGACATCCGATTACGTCATGGTTGTTCTTTAATCCGTCCCTCTTCACTTCTGTCGTCTTTAGGGTTCGGTGAATTTATTGTTCGAGGTTTAGCAGAACAAATCTGTCAAAACAAAAGGCACGTGTGAGCGTAAATTTGAGCAGCACCCCGAAGCGAAATGGCTTTAAAACTGACAGAAATGTTTTCAAAATTAGGACAACTACAGACTAACAATTACCTTGTGACCTTCACAAGCATTTGTCGGCATTTTGTTGACGTTAAATGCTCTCTGATGACGCCTTTCAACGCGAAACGTCACCGTGCATGGTTATAGTTCTTTTCCAAATCTTGTGGAAATTCAGGTTATTTCACAACTCGTAGCTCCTCGTTCTACAATAGACATCCACTCAGCGCATCTTTGAATGCTCTCTAGGGACGCATTACAATGTAAATCATCGTCAGTGATTATAGATTCTTCTGAAATCTTATGAAGATTTAAGTTTACTGCTGTCGACACATACCATCGCCTCATGACCACTCTATCGAGATTGTCGAATTTTACATCCTGAAATTGAAGATAAAGTAAACTTTAGTTACACAAATAAATCCTAGGATGTTTTAAAACATTAGTCATTACTACAACAAATTAGGGCAGAAAATACGAAACAAAACGAGAAACTAAGCTATAGACCTTGTGCTTACCAAGGTGTGACTTTAAAGTCGGCGTTGAATGAACGCGTTCTCGTCGAATTAACGAAGCTAAAATTGAAGATAAATCAAGAATAAGTTACACAAATCAAACAATGAATATTGTAAAGCATTATAACGATGAAATAAGACAATAATTTCAAGAAACGACCGCATATAAACGGCCGGTATTTTAAGGGAAATAAACACGCTAACTTAACTCATTGTAATGTCACATCATTTCGACGTAAACGCAGATAAAATATCATTTAATTCTTATACTCACTTCGTCTTCTTGTCTTTTTCTTCAAATCATTTTAGAGAAGTTTAAGCAGGGTTTTTTCCTTGTAAAATATGTGACGTTCTCGTCCTTTTGTCGTGAACGGTACATCAAAAAAGTGGAAGAATCGTAGTCACATGCGACATGCGCCTAGGGCATGACCAAAATTAAGATTCGAATTTGCCTCCCAAATTAGCTCCGCGTCCTTGATCCTCATTGGTCGTATTCTTTCGTCCGACGGACGAACACGGAAAGTAACGGGCGTATAACTGGACCTTAAATTAGGTGGGGAACTTTATGAGGCTCTCGCCCAAAAAGCCTAGTGTGCCACTCAACCTCTTTGGGCGAAAAACCTAAGAACAAGCATGGGACGAGGGCTTACTTTCCTTCGATGGGTGAGACACTGTGTCGGCCGAAAGTATTCAAGAACACGAGTGTTAAAAGCAAACTATCATACATAAAGTTCTGCCTGTTTAACACGCCTTGGGGGGACTCTCTTCAATATTCAAAAATATCAAAAAATGGTCCAGAGTTGTAGTGGTTTTTCAATCGCTCTAAAATTGCCCGTGTTTTTGATACAATTTCAATTGATCCTTCCTATTCCTGATGTATCCATTTTCTATTTATCGTTGTGTCAATATCTACAATATTATTTTTCTGACATTTTTCCATTTCTTGCAAGAACCACTATTTTCAAGATTCAGTTTTCAGAAAACTTCACAACAACCTCACGATTTCTCCTGAATTTCTTGTCTCCGCAGGTTTACCCAGAATAAATTTTACCCAGTTTATACAGTTCGCACAGAAAAGGTGGGGCCAATTTAAACGCGACAAGGCTCCTTGGGTAAAGGAGACAAACCCCACCCCGTCATGACAAGGTTTCCACAGACAGACTTATAAAATCAGCAAAACAAGTCATATATAAAACATGCCATATAAGAAACCCACATAGAAGAATCGGGGTAAGGAAAAGGTACAGATCTCCAACCAGTCGTGCCCCTGCATTGACCGGCCGAGCATCTGCAACCGGAGTCGCCAATATGAAAATAGTGAAATGAGGTAGAGGAGCGCTAGCTTTATTTTACCCCTGTATCAGCATTGCGCACGATTACCAATGAGTCTCATCGTAGTTATCGTAGTAGCAACTAATGTGGGATATAACGAAATAAGTACGAACTACGAAGTGTGCAGCCAAGGTCAACCCCCGCCAGGCGCCAGGCAACAAATGACTCATGTCAACATAGGACGCGACATAGGTCGCGAAGATAAGTTCGGACTACGAATGAACTTGCGAAATGCGTCGGATTTCCACCTACCCATTGCTCTGATTTGCGCGTCAGAAAAACTGCATTCCGCAGCGAAAGTTTCTGCACCAATTCGAAAACTGTGCCCCTTTTACTTAGCAGGGTCAAGACCACATGCACGAAAAATCAAAGCCAAATGCTCAGTAAATAGCCTGCGTGTTACTGCGCGCCCATCGAGAGTGCGAAAGAGTGGGCCATTGGATAAACCGCGACGCGCAAAATAGTCTAGTAATGTCTGCACAGGGCAAATATCGGAACGGCGATGAAGTGTAAGAGAAACACGAGGTTGATTGTAGGAATGTTTGTAGTTCGCAAAATTGATATTCAAACCGGAAATATTACTCAAATTATCAACAATCTGAACCACTTGAGATAATTGAAGCACAGCTGGAGACCGTGGGCGACTCGGCAAAAAAGGCTGTCGTACACATTGCCTTAAATAAAAGTGCGCGATATTCACTAGATGAAACAAGAGAAGTCTGTTGCAAAATTGTGCGGAGGATAGAAATAGTGATTGGAAGGCGTGCATCAACACCGGAGCCAAGCTTACCATATCCTTTCAACATTTCGAGAACCCAAAATACCTTCGTAGGGTCATGCACGCCCGCTAAACGGTGACAATAACCTAATGCAGAAACATAGGTATTCGCGGTCGAGGCTGCATAATGGCGCTGAAACATGACCGAATGCTATAAATAAAGCCAAGTCTGAAGAAAAACCGCAGATGAAAACTGATTGTAGAGTTTCCATGCCCTGCGATAGGTAGGGATTAACGATGGCTGCAAACTAGATTGAATTAACCGCGAGGTAATAGCGGCCAATTGTGTGGAAGGAAGGTTGGCTGAACGCCCACCGGAGCTAGCCGTTTGAACTTCGAAACCTGCAAGCGAGATAATTAAGGAGTACAAGTATTAAAAATAGTATTATAATATAAACGAATAAACATGTAAGTATTAAAGAAGATATAAACTAGGAATAATCGATGTCTGACTCAGTAGTTACGTTATTTTATCATATTTTTAAAGATGCCTAAAGATTTTGTTTCCTTTGCTTGCTTTGGTAGACTATTCCATAGCGCAGCCCCACTGAGTAGCCTCTGGGAGGGTAAACTGGCTGGTAGACCCCGCAGTGGTGTTGGCTGTTGGCGCGGTAGTTGGCTCAGACAATGGCTGTAACAAGTTATTCACCGTCCCCGATGTACCTGGAGCCGTGTCTGGACCGGAGCGGGAGGGACGATCGTCGCGGTCGGCCGAGTCGGGTTGGTTGCGCTCTGCACTCGTGTACTCGCTCTGGTAGTGGTAGCAGGCATAATTCCGTATAGCAAGAACTAAGGAATAAACAAAGAGCAGAGCAAGAGCGAAACGAATGTCTGTGGTGATAAGTAAAATACTATATACCAGAGACACGCCACGCACAATACAATTGACAAATATTAAAAAAGACAGGAGGACTTGAAAGGGCAGCGAAATAATCATGGCATACAACAACGAGGGTAGCCGCATTTGATTATCCCGTGACGCTGCAAATACTGAAAATTATCGGGCAATCTGAAAACAATTAAAATGCCGCACCATCCCACAATATATTGGCAATTGATAAAAGGAGAATAGTGCGAATAGTCGACGAATAGCGCGAATAGTCGACGAATAGTGCGAATAGTCGGCGAATAGTGCGAATAGTCGACGAATAGTCGACGAATAGTGCGAATAGTCGGCGAATAGTGCGAATAGTCGACGAATAGTGCGAATAGTCGACGAATAGTCGCATTGTGACATATTCTTCTAGCGATCGAATTCCGACCATACTTTACAAAACGAATAATACAAATTCCACAATACGTTTTACAGTAACTATTTTTTTGGAGAGGGGAATTCAAAAACCTGTTAGAAAACAATGCAATTCATCTAAGTGTTCTGGCAGTAATATACAAAGAATCTATTATTTAGTATAGAAAAAAAACACAAAGTTATCGACTTTTTAAAAAGTTCCTTAAAGTTCCAAAAATAGTAAACCCCATAAGTATATCATAAAATAACCTAACATAACGCAATTATAGTGTATAAGAAAAAACAATACTCTTATTTACATAAATTGGACATGTAGTCCTGATGCGCAGACATTTGCTTCAGCCTCTTCCGACAAACTCTGCCAGAATTCTCTTGCCACCATAACACGCCCGTCAAACATATAATTTTTCATCATAATGTGACCTGGATTAAGGTGGTAGTACGCTGCCTGAAAGCCATCGCTGTACACCAGATTTCCATGCGGGTCTTTACCCTTGACTCAAAATGTCTCAAAAAGACTTATGTCTCAAAATGTATATATAAATTTGGTTTTAAGCCATATTTACACTGAAAACGTGCTGTCTAATCTCATGGGGTGAAAATGCTCAGCCAAATGAGCAATTATTATGTTTATCATCAATGGCTAAAAAAATGAAAGCAGGTCATCTTCAAAGGCTATATAGAACGTTTTGTGGTGACCTTGTGTTTGTTCGAATTCCTGTTATTTCCACGTGCGTTGACCGCCCGTCGGAAAGGTGAATTGAAATGCTCATATAAGATTTCAAACGTCATCTTGATGCATGGTAAAATTATAGTATATATAGTTATACACATACCTTTTTTGGGGAAGGTTCAGATTCCGAGCTAGAAATATAAATAACTTCCTTCTAAATGAAAAACATACACAATTTCAGTGACGATTTTCCGATTTTGGCACTGTGAAGTGTGAACAGAACATTTGTGGTTCTAAAGGTCTGTTATGTGCCCACGGCACGGCCGCGTGTGTGGGTTTTTAGTGCTAGTGTTATAAATTGTATGCACACAGTTTATTTCATCCACATAGAACAATTTACAGACGCAAATCTTTGTAGTTTGTATACAAATGACAAATTCAAAGTGAATTTGCATAATTACATGTCGAAAATATGCAATTGCTCTATAATGTACTCTAGTTCCTTTATTATATCAACATACACCTCCGGCCACTACATAGACTCATAGAGCTCGATCTCTGAGTATACTTTTGATTCTAATTATATAGTTTAATAAAGAAAAAAAACAAGAATAAATACCTCACAGTCACAAAGTGTTTCCGTCGACTCGGACATTTCAGTCATCTTGTAGTCCGCGCGGCTCAGCAGGTGGGCGCTCGGGTAACAGTTCTGCGTCTGGTTTGGGCGCAGACTATTTAGTGTGTTTGCCGACTATTCGTCGACTATTCGCACTATTCGTCGACTATTCGCACTATTCGCCGACTATTCGCACTATTCGTCGACTATTCGCACTATTCGCCGACTATTCGCACTATTCTCCTTTTATCAATTGCCCAATATATTGACTTTAACTGTGGGCATCCGGAAACGTAAAACGCCCTACCCACTTAGATATGTATTTTTTCCTACACAGAACGAACGAGCGATATATGCATAAAACTACATCAGCACGACAAACATCACAAACCACACAACGCATATATAACAAGTAAAATCATGAACTCGTCCTGCGCAGCAAAAAACCCAATGTTGAAATCTCAACGTGGGCATCTGTAAACAGTCATGTTGCTCTAGCCCATACTGGGTAAGTCAAACGTATGATAAACGGCAAATAAAGTAGTGTGCAGAGTATGCGTAGTAAGAGATATACAAAAAACATATACACACATATATAATATCATATATGCATAATATTATAATATACACACAATAAATGAACTACAACAGTGCCAGAGCTTTCAAAATAGCCCCACGATAGCTCCTATACAAACAATATTGCTCCTGTGTGTTACAATGAACGCCGTCAGTGGATAACAGAACACGGGCGGGATTGAAAAATTCCCGATGTTCCCACAGAAAAATACCCTGCTCCTCTGCAAGGACCACGGACAAATACTGGCGCAAAAGAGCGGCCTTGGTGTTAAAAACACTATCAGATTCCCGCGTTTTGGCGATGTTGCGGTCAATCACCTGGCGCACCCCAATGACGCGAACGCGAAATTCGTCGCGAAGCAGGCGAGCGAGCTCTTCAAGCCTCGATCCTACAACTTCAGGGGCGTGAGTGGTCAGATCATTTGTGCCCAACTCGAGAATTATAATGTCAGGTTTGGCAGATCAGACATGGGAAAGATCGTATTGAATCACCTTTTCAACGGTACTGCCACCTGTGCCCAGCATAGTGACATAACCCGATTCGGGAATATGAAAATTTTGGGATGCGCGGGAATCGAAATTAACCTTTAAACCATCCCGTAAGCGACGGACAAAAGAATGACCCAAAATTAGAATATTGGGAAAGCCAAAAGACATTCTAAATTATTTCTAATAAGAATAAATATAGAGATAGTTACCTGTTAACCGAAGTGTCAAAAATTTCAAATTCGATCTGTAATGACCTTGTCGAAGCGAGGAGCAGAATGAATTTGCAGCACATTCTGCTCTTTATCTATACTGACCCTCATCTCCGCTATCCCACGCGTTACCTATATGTCAACACAATTCCAGGGAAATTACTCGCGCGTCAAACTAAAGTATTAAAATCTACTTTGTCTCAACAATAAATTATTTATTTGGTAGGCCAATAATTCCTATTTGGAGTGTCTGTTTTTTTAACCAATCATAATGGTCCTGGAGGGTGTTGCAAGTTGGTGTAAAATTACAGCAGGATGGTGATCAAATGATCAAATCTTAACTTCTGGGAAAGAATCAAGTACTCTTTATACAGACAAGTCAGACATGGAAAATTGCTTAAAACTGATTCCTCGTAATTGTTACAATACCCACAGTTCAGTAGTTCTTGCTTTGTTTGTAGCAACTGGTGTTGTTCTAATTGCAATCGCGAGTGATTACGAGTCGAAATCAAGTCTAGAATGTGACCTCACCAGCTCTTTATTCAAGGGGAAGTACATTGAAACACAATGTCGTCTTCAATATGCCGAAGAATTCCTCCCTTCGTTATCTCTCAATGTCCAGATTGTGATAAGTTTTGGACTTGTCGTTGTGTTGAGCGTTGTTTACGGTTACCTGGTGAAACATAGAGTCGACATCTTCGCAAATAATCCAAACACAACGACGAACGAGGGCGTAGAAGAAAGCCAGCCACTACCGTCTGAAGCATCGCCAGCCGCACGGGAAGTCTATCGAGGTAGTAATCGTTATTTTGTATTTATGGCTTATATAAGCCATTTGATCGTTTGTCGTATAATACCACTGACAGTATTCTCAGCATTTCTCTTAACCTCGTCCAATTTTCCGACCCATTTTGAATGTCCTTTGCCCAATATGAAAACAACAACTAGTACTTCCCATGAGAACGTCACACGGTCAACTACGAATTCTTCATTTGTGGACTGCACTTATTCAATGGCTGGGAAGAAACAACAAGTTGTTGTCGGCTTTATCACGATAAATTTTCTCGTTGATGCAGTGACACTCGTTGAGATTGTTTATCTGTTGTGGTCGGCATTGAAGAGACCAACTTTCCATACTGATCAGGAGTTCATTAGCGTGTACCTTTTACGAAAACGAACCAAAACTATCCTAGAAATAAACGAAATAATTCGATCAAACCAATCTGAAAATTTATTTTACCTGCTTGGGGACTTTGGAGGGAAACGTTTGTCACGTAGAAAACTGGAGGAGATCTATATCAATCTTATGATTCAAGATGGAAGGGAAACAACCTATAATTCCAGGAGAAGATATAAAGATAGACATGATATTTATGAAGCTCGTTTAGAAAAACTCCCTGATGCAAAAGTACTTGAGAGTACAGCAGAGTTATTTCAAGCAGCAGAAGCTTGTAAGAAACAACCTAGAACTGTTCTTGTAGTAGGCAGACCAGGCATAGGGAAAAGTCTACTGACAAAAAAAATATTTCATGAGTATCAAAAACACATAGAAAGATTCTGGTATGGAAAAATTGTACTATTGATTCAATTACGTGATTTTAACAAGGGAGAAACAAGTCTTAAAGAAATATTTAGTCAGACTCTAGGTTCTGTTATGCCATCAGCTCATTGCAACATGACCATCTACGAGTATATTTGCACAAACCCAAGTGGTAATGTCATTCTTGTTTTTGATGGCTTAGATGAACTTAAAGTTGACAAAACGTTTTTAACTGATGAGAAGATCATAACCAGCCCAGACAAAATGTGTCATATGTTTCTTATCCTTAAACAGCTGGTGGAAGGCAAACTATTGCCTGGAGCCACTATGTTAATCACTTCTCGACCTACAGCAGAAGATATTTATCAGTGTCTAAAGTTTGATCGGGAAGTGGAGATACTGGGTTTTAATGAGGAACAAATAGAAAAGTATGTTAAAATGTTTTGCCATGATGACAGGAAAAGTTCAGAGATGTGGCAAGTAATCAAGAGTTCACCAGAACTATTAAGCTTCTGTTACATACCTGTCAATTCCTATATAGTGTGCTTGACATTATATGAGAGCATTGATTTTGGTCAACATGTGAAGGATGAAAGCTACAGCAAGATTCCTAAAACAATGACTGAAATGTACAAAAGAGCTATAAAGATTTTGCTGTTCAAACACAATTCAAAATACAGGAATGAACAACCCTCAAAGGATTACTTGACTGCAGAACTTCCACAGCTGCTTCAAGAAGACCTTGACAGGTTGAAAGGAATTGCAAGGAATGGAATGGAAAAAGATCAGTTAGTTTTTGAGTTTAAAAGCAGCGATAAATCTGTGGCTGGCTTATCAGATTCTGGTGTATTCAATCAGTTGGAAGACAAAAATCATCATATTTTCTCTTTTCTTCATCTTACAATTCAAGAGTTTCTAGCTGCGCTACATGTGGTTGATGATATTAAAAATATTGAATCATTTTTGGAAAAGCACCTCAATAATCCCAGGTGGCATTTGGTGATTCAGTTTGTAGCTGGGTTACTTGGAGATAAAATTAAAGAGTTAAGGTATACCTCATTTTTCTGGAAATTAATAAAATACCCAGTTATATTGTATAGTCACAACTCGATTTGATCACCAGATCTACGTGAGGGGATCTTTTTATATTATCCATTTATTGTTGTATGCATGAGTAACATATTGATATTCTTAAGTGGCTTTAGTGACATAGCCACTTGATCTTGACAATGGAAACTTTTATGTGTAATTGGGAAATACTGCTTATGAGTAAAATAGAAACTTGCACTTTCCAACTTTTGCAAGAGAAAAAATAGCATATATCTTTTTGTGTTTGTACTAAATCACATTTTTTATCAGTTCAGCAGAGCATGAAGACAGTGAAGTGATCGAAAGTATATGCAAAAGGTAAGAATTTGTTACAATTTATACACATGTTGGGTAGTATTGCCTTATAGCAATGGGTCTATAAAATATTTCTGTCTGATGCATGCATGTTGCTAGTTGGCATCAATTAAGCTCAACAAAAATCAGCAAGGGCTTGCTTGCCTAGCATTAGCAAAATTGGGGATTTTCCAAGGTTGATAAAACTTCTACATGTTGGAGGTAAATAATTCTGGGGCCGGTTGTACGAAAGCCGGATAGCGCTAATAGACTAAGTAGACTCGTGTACACGCGCGAGCGCCAGGAGAACGAAAATATGTCTGGGCTGCCTATGATGCAACCGGCCCCAACCGGCCCCTGATTAGCCAATTCTGTGAAAGGTTGTTGCTGTACTTATTTTTTATTCACCTGATTATTAACATAATTATAACTGTTATAAGATGTTTAAATAAAATTATAACTTTTGATTTCAGTACAGTTTCCTAGTCAATAGTTTTGCATGCTGTACAATGAAATATTCATTATTATATAATAACGTAAAGAATTCAAGCAATTTCATTGGTCGAGAGCCATGATCTATAAGAGGACAGACGCACGGAATGACGTCACAGCAATTTTCTTGTTTTTAAATTGCAAACAAATAATTCAATTAATTTTGGATTTTTTTCAGTTTTATTATATAAAACAAATAGATTACAATGAACCGTTGTCTGTTCAGTTATAGATACACGGTATGACGCCATATGTGATAACAACAAAAGAGTTACCACTCGCCCCGGCGGCTCGTGGCCACTTTTTTTGTTCTTATCACATATGACGTCATACCGTGTATCTATAGAGAGTTTGGCAATCGCAACGTGATTGGCAACGGCTACGTCCACATTGCGCGGGGGTTGAGGCGAAGACGGCGTACCCGTCGCGAAAAAGAAATGTTTGGCATTTCTTGATCGACGGGTGTTTTGGCGGTAAATTGAAAATGGCGGAAAATATAAATATTGAAGACATACTCGATGAAAACGTAGAATATGAAGATTTACTCCTGTTCCTGTTGGCAGAGGAACGGATATTGATGAAGAAGAATATTTTTTATTAATCGCAGAAAATGAAAACATGTTTAAGCAATCAAATTTTCCTTTTCAAGGATACGATAAGTTTAACTGGAATACAACAGATGAACTGTTTTGTAAAGTTGAGTTTAGATTTAAAAAAGAAGACATTTCCAGACTAAAAACAGTTTTAATGATTCCCGACGAAATCCGAATACAACGATGCACCCCGTGCAATGGTCTTGAAGCCTTATGTATACTGTTAAAAAGATTTGCCTTTCCTGTGAGATACTGCGATATGGTGCCATTATTTGGCAGATCTGTCCCTGAACTATGCAGGATTGTACATTTCATGGTTAATTTTATTTACGAAAGAAACAAGTTTAGACTAACAAGTTGGAATCAATCATTCCTTTCACGCGAAAACCTGCAGCTTTATGCCACTTCTATACACAACAAAGGTGCACCACTAACGAACTGCTTCGGCTTCATTGATGGCACCGTCAGGCCAATTTGTAGACCAGTCACAAACCAACGAGAAGTATACAATGGCCATAAGCGAACCCATGCCCTTAAATTTCAGAGCATTTGTCTTCCAAATGGAATCATAGGAAATATGTTTCCTATGGAAATATATTTCCTAGTCAATAGCTATGTCAATAGTTTTGCATGCTGTACAATGAAATATCACTGAGCTATATAATAATTCCTGGAGGACCGGCTCGTCACCAAAAAGTGTCCGCAAAAACATGGCGGATTTTGAGCTTTGCTGACGCACTGAGCTATATAATAATTCCTGGAGGACCGGCTCCTGTCAAAAAAGTGAAGCCACTAAGATGGCGGATTTTGAGCTTTGCTGACGCCACTTGGTTCCTTTTGCTCATGGTAGTTACCACTGACATACCGCGATACAAGGTGAAAAACTGTGTCCATCACCCTCCCGATTTTTATGAAAATATTTTCAGCTTTCCGTATATATTTTTTTGTTTTTCATATAAAATGGATAAAAGCGTTTCTCTTTTTCCCTGTTCAACAAATGGAAAGGACACGTAGCTTCGTGCTCTGCGTCTGACGTTGTGAATGGCTTAATTCACTTATCGGTAGAGTGAATTTTCTCATTTTGCCCTTATTTTATAAAATCCAGGTAAGCCGTTTTTCAACTTTTTTTACTATAAACAATTTCGTTTTTGGCCTTCGAGTTTGGACTATAATATAAACCGATTACCAAAGCCTCTGAGACTATAAATCCATCAAAACGTGTGGTGCAAACAGCCTTTGGTACATTACAGTGCTGTCAATGCAATGTTATATACCCAAATTTTATCATTTTTTCTTAACTTGTGTCGGGGGAAAGTTAAAATTCCTGGCAGTGTCAATCTTTTGAGTTTGGTCTATGTTGTTTTCATGATAGCAAACATCAATGTTAATAGGTAAACCATTCCCCCAGTGAGTCTACTATAGTCACTCTTCTATTGATCCCACCCAACATCAATTAACATGATCTGGGAGTGCTGATACAAAATAATAAGTTGCTGTAAACAGTGTAAAATTCCAACCTCTGATAGTGAGCCCTGTTAAAGCCTAATATATTATCTTGTTTACCTTGTCAAATCCAAAGTGAAATGATCAATTATCACAGCTCTTAATTTATTTTTTAGCTTCTTGCACCTTGTGAATAAATCTTGATCATATCTCCATTTTTATTTTTCAGGATGAAGTTTCAGTTTTTATACCATTTGTCAAATTTATTAATTAATGAAATAAATATAAACATGCATTGACTGAGCAGTGTGTCTTTAATCTGCAGCAACTTTTGTAATTTTCTGTTTATGGTATCAACCTCCAAAGGGGTTATATTCATTAGGCTAATCAGTGGAGCCTATGGAGGGATAAATGTTATTCTTTACTATAACCAAGGGTCCAGGGATGCAATTAGAGAATGCTGAAAACTTTTAAAGCCTGTTATTAAGGTTTATTAGGGTACAAGTTGATGACTTCATATGATGACTTGAATGAAAAGTATATTATGCAAATATGATTCTTGGTTGAAACTATATTGCTGCACTAAGTATTAGTCAGCTGCCCAGCATTTTGCCTGAGCTTTGGCCTCTGTTTCTTTGGATTTTGTATTGTGCATAGATATAAAGTCTTGAAGACAACATCACATACTGAATACTGATTACATACTTCCTGCAATTCATCAGTTCAGGGTTTAGAAAAGTCAAATTGTTGCCCATAAATTCCTAGTTGTCTTCAAAATATGCGAGGATAGTGCCAAAACATTCAAACATTTGTAAACTCTCATATTGGAATGTATAAATAACAAAAATATTATTACGAAAATGAAATAAGAAACCTGTCAGTTCGTGTCAGTATTAAAATCTTTAGTTTGTCCACATTTTTCCATATTTTAATATATTTGTTTCCGCGCTGGCTAAAAAATAGCGTGTATGACTTGTATTCATCTTAAAATAAAACTTTATTGTATGTCAGTGCGAAAAATATAAAAAAAACAACCGAAAAACATTTCAAAAACAAAAAAGATTTCACGGCAAAAAAAAATATAAAAACCAGGGGGAGAATTGTTATTTACAAAAACCAGGGGGGAGAATACTGCTGTAGCGGGCTCAGAATTGAGCCTGGTCAGTGGTAAATACCATGGTCAAAAGGAACCAAGTGGCGTCAGCAAAGCTTCTGCGGTTGCGCAGAAGGGCGAAATCCGCCCACTGAGCTATATAATAATTCCTGGAGGACCGGCTCCTGATGTTTTTTTCTCAAAAAGTGAAGCAAGAAACATGGCGGATTTTTCGTGCTGACGCCAGATATGGTCCCACTGGGCAATGGTAATGACCACTGACACGGCTCAATATTGAGCCCGCTCCAACATTCACTCCCCCCTGCATATTTTTTGAAAACACTTAGCGGTAAATTGTTTTCGTTATGAATTTTTATTTTTCGACCTTTTTTCTTCTATTTGTTAATTTCATTTTAAGATCTACACAACTGACACGTACTTGTCGTGCTTTAAATGTGGCATACGATTACTAAAAGCTGAAAATTTTCAGTAAATAATGGTGATATTTGAAAACATTGGCGAACTAAAATCTCAAAAGAATTTGAATATGAAGTTTTCATATCATATTTTAAGAAAACGGAAATTATTTACGTTTTATAGGTATGCTTGGTTGGCTTAAGTCGTATTACATATTCACCATTTATGATATGAGACAGAGTATTAACTATAAACTACAGTTTGACTTTGTATGTGGGAATCAGTTCATTGTCATTGTGCTCACTCAGTCTTTCACTAGCTGGTTGAAAATCTCATGCTATATCATAGTGCTATATATGTGGAAAAAAAATTATAATCAATATCACTTAGCCAAAGGGCAGCTGATTCTGAATTGAAAAAGGGCAGCTGATTTGAACAGGTCCAAGATTGCCAAACTACCTGAATAAGCTGATCAAAAAACACAGGAATATTTTCCCCATTTGTCCTTTATATTTACCTTGGCTTTTTGCCAGCTTTTAAAACATAACTGACCAGTCTAGCAGTAAGCTTTGACAATATGAAAAATCAAATTATAAAGCATAAAAAACTGAGCAGATGTATGTAAGTTCAACTATGTTTCACATTAATTAGTGACCAAGGATCACCAAGCAGATTTTGCATCTTGTGTGTTTTAATTTTAATAGTTTGAATCCTGGGTTTGCATGAAAATGGTGATAACTCAGAGCTTTGTTTTATATTTTAACCATAGGTATGCTGGTAGAGGATTTTTGGGAACAACACTATTACTTTTGACCTAAGCAATTAGTATGTGGACTGCATCTGCTTTTGAAATGCTAGAAATTGAGAAAGAACTGAATAAAAATAGTGATATATTAACATTACTTTGCATTATTATAGACCATATAGGGTCTATCATAGTCATAATTGGTAATTTTGTATTGTGTGTATTGTGTGTAGTTTTTGCCTAGATGGAAAGTAGGCAAAAATTTATTTTCCCACAATTGACATATAAATCAAGCATTCTTCTACTGTTTGACTCAGTTAAAATAGTCTCATACTCTCAAAGAATAGCAGTCTATAACACCTCTTTTGGACATGTCTAAATTAATAAACAACTATTCAGCTTGATGGCATAGATACAGATGGATACAAGGTTTAATAATAATAAAATGATATTAAACAATGCCCAGGCAAGTGCAAGGATCTGGCAAATAAATTTAAAATATATAATTTAGGACAAGAAATCCAAAGGATTGCAAAAACAACTCTACTTATAAATTCCATATGAGAAACAATCCATAAAACTATAAGCGTGAATCTCAATTCATTTTCTATGAGAGCTGTCAAAAATGCCATCGATGAAACTTCAGAAGTAAATATAAATCGGCTTACAAGTATATGAGTCGATATTCATCCCTTCTGGAGAC